GTCCAGACCTGCCTCTTTTTCCCTGCGGCACCTTCTGCCATTCCTGGTGAAAGCATCTCCCAGCATCTCTGTCACTTGCAGGAGACGGACTCTGCCCGACTTCATCAGAAACACAATTTGTGAAAAGGAACTTGTGGAGCTCCCAGAGCCACCGAGGGGGTGGCTGGAGGACAAGACTCAGCCAGACAGCTGGTCTCCAGCCCAAACCTGAGTCCTGCTCTGGCCTGCTGAGCGAGCCACTGCCACCGCAGGGTGCTCACCGGAGGCCCAGACGCTGCAGGCGTGGCCCAGCAGCCACGGCCCCCAACGGCCCCCATGAAGGAGGCTCTCTGCTGTCTGGCCACGGTAGCCAGCCCCCCAGCGAACTCCTGGGAGGGCACATCTGATTGGCTGGGCCTGGACAAAGTCCCTTGCCCTGGGGCAAAGGACAGCGAGCCAGTGAAACTGGCATTTCTGTCTTCTTTGGTGGAAGAAAGGGGCCCAGGTGCTGGGTGAAGAGGAATGGCAGGGTCCTCTACCTTGGCATTACTAATTAACAAAAATTCGACTGAGTACATTTTAAACATCTAAGTGGCTTTCTTACACGATTCATGAATTGCGCAGCCTCCCATCTTGCCTGTGGAGGGGAGCTCTGAGGAGTGGGACCAGATGGAAGGTTTCTGTAGAAGAAGGGTGGGAGCAGGAAGATTATTAGCAAAAGAAAAGGATTATTCCTGGCCTGGCCTCTTTCTAGAGGGCAAAGCAAGGTGTCTTATCATGCAGATGAGCTCATCTTTCTTTGAGGAGTGGGAGAAGAGCCAGAGGCAGACTCAGTGGCACTGATTGAAAAATTCCTGACTGACCGGTTAAGACTACATTTCTGGGAGAAGTTGAAACTGCAATTAGATTGGGTTATCGAGCCCTGGTTTGGGAACTTGGGCTGAGGGACACTATTTTGGGCCTGTGGTTTTTGTTTTGTTTAAGAATTTTTAATGTTGGGGCGCCTGGGTGGCTCAGTCGGTTAAGCGTCTGACTTTGGCTCAGGTCATGACCTCACAGTTTGTGGGTTCGAGCCCCGCGTCGGGCCCTGTGCTGACAGCTAGCTCAGAGCCTGGAGCCTGCTTCAGATTCTGTGTCTCCCTCTCTCTCTCTGACCTTCCCAAGCTCACACTGTCTCTCTCTCTCAGAAATAAATAAAGCATTAAATTTTTTTTTAATTTTAATGTATATTTATTTATTTATTTAACATTTTTATTTATTTCTGAGAGCTGTCAGCACAGAGCCCGACGCGGGGCTCGAACCTACAAACCGCGAGATCATGACCTAAGCTGAAGTTGCATGCTTAACTGACCGAACCACACAGGTGTGACCCCCCTCTTTTTTTTTTTTTTTTTTTAACAGCACTCACCTCTCCTGGCCCAGAGGTTCAGTCATGGGCTGACGGGTCGCGCCCACACCCTGTCAGGGACTGGGCTTTCTGGGCATCACTGGGTGCTTCCCATGTGGAATTGCCACCACAGCTTGGCCTCACACCAGGGGCTGGGCATTTGAGGTGAGCGCTCAATACAGGGGCCGTTCACAGAACTATAGACAGGTTAAAGTGGCCACCTAAGTTGGGGCAGCACCGGGGGGCTACCATCAGGAGGAGAACTTTCAGTCTGCAAACCGACAGGGGCAAAGTGGGGAAGGGTTACCGGAACCTGGTGTGGGACCATTCCTTAGCCCCTACTGGTCCCCACACCTCCAGTTTCAGTTCCTGTAATCTGTCCACCAGAAGGATCTCTCAAGTCACTCACTCCTGTGGCCCTCCAGGTAAGTCTCCGTTTCTGAGCATATGGCCCTGGAAGAAACAGAGGAGAGAGGAGCGGCTATGGGGTGGCACGTATTGACTGAAGGCAAGGGGTTGCGGAATGAGCAGTGGGGAGCAGCCCCACCCCTGCACTCTCCTCCCCCTCCCTGACCACCCACCTTTGCCTTCTATTTGCCAAGCCTAGAAAGAAGCTCAGGAAAGGGAGCTCCAGGACAGGGTGGGGTGCAGGGTGGACCTGGAGGGGAAAGTAGAAGACAGCCTGCTGCCACAAGCCCCTACTACTTATGGGCAGCACAGAGGACTGGGGGCACTGAGGCAGCCCATCCCTTGGGGGAGTGGTGTCCGGGCTGATACTCAGGGGAAAGAGGTCAGTGGACTGAAGGGGATCTTGTCTTTCCTTTCTCAATTATCTGGCACCTACTATGAGCATGGCCCTTGTGCTAGAAACAGAAGACAGACACCACCCAGCCTCACAGAGCAGAAGACACCCACATGACCCAGGGTTTTGTGTTGGGCTGGGGGAGTCACAGAGGGGAGCCCTAACTCAGACTTGACACCTTGGGAGGCTTCCTGGAGGAGGTGGTGTTTCAACTGGAACATAAGGGTTGTGCTAGAGCGATAGGGGGTAGGAAATGTGTGTGGTGGCTGGAGAGTCAGGAAGCACGAAGGGCCCCATTTATTGCTGGGACTCAGGTTGGAACTTTATCTTAAGAGCCATGGGGAGAGGCACCTGGGTGGCTCAGTCGGGTAACTCTTGATACTGGCTCAGGTGGTGATCCCATGGTTGTGGGATTGAGCCCCAAGTTGGGCTCTGCGCTTACAGCGCAGAACTTGCTTGGTATTCTCTCTCTCCCTCTCTCTGCCCCTCTCCACTCATGCTTTCTCTCTCTCTCTCTCTCTCTCAAAATTAATAAATATACTTAAAAAAAAAAAAGAACCTTGAGGAGGAACCCTTGCAGGGTTTAGAGTGGGGGTGGGGAGGCTACTGATTTGTTCTTTAGGAAGATCAAGACTGAAAGCATGGAGAGAGGTGGTGAGACCAGAGCTGGGTCAGTGGTGAGGAAAAGAATGTTCTGGAGGTGAGAGTGGCAGAGAAGGGGTCGGGGGAGTTGAGCACCAGCCTGGGTGACCAGGTGGAACTGGGGGTACAGGTGTGTGTTGTCTGTGGAGGTCCAGGAGGTCTTTGGAGGTGGTGTTCTTGGAGTCCTCAGAGCCTGAGCAGCGGTGGATGGGCAGGAAATCTCAGAGGCCAATACGCTGGAAGAGAGGTCAGGGCAGGGGCCTGTGTGAGCACAGTGGGGAGGGAAGAGTGGAGTTGTGGGTGGAAGGTGAGGAAGGTGACAGTCAGCTGGTCCAGGACACCAGCAGGCAACACAAGGCAGAAATGCAGAGGGAGAAGGTGAGGACATAGGGGAGGACCCTGTGGTGCCACTGGCCTGTTGCTGCCTGAGCTGCCTGTTAGTGTTAGCCATTCTGACCTGTAAGAGGTGGTATGTCATTGTGGTTTTGATTTGTATTTTCCTGAAGATGAGTGATGTTGAGCATCTTTTCATGTGTCTGTTAGCCATCTGGATGTCTTCTTTGGAGAAGTGTCTATTCATGTCTTCTGCCCATTTCTTCACTGGGTTGTTTGTTCGATAAGTTCTTTATAGATGTTGGATACTAACCCTTCATCTGACATGTCGTTTGCAATATCCCGTTCCATTGGTTGCCTCTTAGTTTTGCTGATGGGGGACCCTCAATCTTGTTGAGAACCTCATGTTTGGCACAGGGGGGTTGGTTTCTGCTTTGGAGGGGCTGATTTCCGTGGGCATCTTGGGGAAGTGACCATTTCCCAGCTTCGCAGGCCTCGTGACCTCCTCCCCCACCATGGGCACGTGCCTGTCCGATGCACGGCTGTGATTTCCCAGCCCCTCCTAGCCATGCACAGCTCTGAGTTGCCCTCTCAGGTCTTCTTCTGTCCTCAGGTGACAAACATATGGTGACGCACAGGGTGTATGCCCTGGCTCCAGTGCCCTCTTAGTGTGACCTTTCATGTTCTCTGCCTTGAGCATAATGTACTGGGTGTGCCAGGTGCAGTGGGAGGCAGGTAAGAAATCCTGGGTAAAAAAATAATGCTCGCCATAGACTGAATACTTGTGTCCTTGCAAAATTCATATGTTGGAATTCTAACCTCAAGGTGATGGTATTTGGAGGTGGGGCCTTTGGGAGGTGATTAGATCTTGAAGGTGGAGTCCTTATGAATGGGAGTTAGTGCCCTTATAAAAGAGGCCCCAGAGAGGTGCTTTAGCTCTTCCGCCAGGTGAAAACATAGGAAAAGGATAATCATCTATGAACCAGGAAACTCTCATCAGACATAGAATTTGCTGGCAACCTGATCTTGGACTTCCCAGTTGGCAGAACTGTTGTTTACAAGCCCCCAAGTCTATGATATTTTGTTATAGCAGCTGGAACAGACTCAAGACAGTGCTCCTTCTCCATTTCCCTGGCTCTGCCCAGGCCCCTGCCCCACAGTGGGCAGCAGGGCCACCCTTAGCCATTGCCCCATCTCAAGGTGGCTGTGTGAGCACATGGTGTGCAGCAGACACCAATGCGGCCCAGCCAGACTCCGCCCCCCCCCCCCCCCCCCCCCCCCCCCGAGTGTGCCTGGGAGCTGCCAGTTCCCATCCTCAGACCCAGCCATCTGAACCAGGCTTGCCCTGCGCTGGGAGCCAGCCTGCCTGGTCTGGGGGGTAGGACGCCTGAGGGGATAGAATTACCAACCCAGTGGGTGAGGTGATGGGCTAGGCTTGCAGAAGGGACTGGCATTTATTGAGTGCCTATTGTGTACCCAGGTGTGCTCTGGGCACTGTCCCCACCACCTCACCTGGTCCTCCACTGCAGAATGAGAATTTGAGGGGCAAGGGAGGCCCCGGGGGCCACAGGGAGGGGCTGGGTCCCGCCTCCCAAGTGTTAGGATGCAGATTCCTTTGGAGACCCTCTCCAGGTCAAGAGCTGAGAACTGGGGCTCCGGTGGGGGGGGTGTGCGGCTGGGGGTCTCCAGGCGCCTATCTGAGTCGTAAACGGGCCCCGCCATAGTTTTCGCGTGGCCCCCGGACGTGAGCCTGGCCCAGAGGCTGGGAGGGGCGTCCTCTCCCCCTCCCTTGCCTCGCCCTCCTCCCCTCCGCTCCCTCCTCCGGGCGGGGTTCCCGGAACAGGCAGCCGGGGCGGGGCGAGGAAGCAGTGGCCGCACGGGTCGCTGAGGCTGCGGCTGCACCTCGACCCCTGTTGCTCCTGTCCGTCTGTTCTTCTGTCCGTCCGCCACACAGCTATGGCTGCGCGTGTCCCCACGCCACGGATCCTGCTGCTGCTGCTGCTGCTCCCGCCGCCACCAGGTGGTGAGCCTTTGAGGGTGGGGGGAGTTTGTCCCGGGCGGGGACAGTGTGTATGGGAGCGGGGCAGCCACGTCTGTGCGCCCGTAGAGCGAGCCCAGGCAACACCATCGCCACGGTGTCCCCCATCCCATTAACCCCGAAGCAGTCAGCCAACCCCCAAGACTGACTTGACCTCCACCGCAGCCTTCCCAGTCTGAACTGACACTGCCCAGACCCTAGGAAGTTGCCACCATTGTTTTGCCCCGGAATGGTGGTGGTGGTGGTGGTGTCGTCTTGTGCTCCCTCAGGTGTTCCAAGGGATTGGGTCCCCATGGGCTGGGGTAGGAGTCCCCCCATGGCCTTAGGCTAGGGTGGTGGCAGCAGGGAGGCCTGGCCTCTCCATCAGAGGCTTTCCCTTGGGCTCTATTTACTGTCTGGAATCCCCCGCCTGGCTGAGGCTGGCCTCTGGGGTTGGAGGAAACATCACTGTGTATGTGTTGATGGTAGACTGATGATTCACAGGCGGAGGAGGCCAGGCTGGGGGCCTTTTAGGGGTAGGAATTGGAACATCCCCTTGCCCAGCTGGAGGAAGCCGATGATCCCTCTGGGGTGAGTGGCTTCCTCCAGGAGAAGAGCTTTATTTCCTGGGGGCTGAGATGAATTTGGGGACCTGGGGTGGGAAAGTGAGATGGTGGACTCCTAGTCCCTGCTCCAGTGAGATCTGGGAAGACTCCTCGAGTGTCTGGGGTCCAGAAAAGCATTTGTGTCGTGGGCCCTAGGCCCAAACAGCATCAGTGGTGTGTGTCTTCAGCCCCAGCTTGGAGGCTGGGCGGTGACTGTAAAGGCTGTAAAGTCCCTGCTGGAAGTGGCTCACCCGAGTTACCCAGGAGCATGGGCCATGCTGACCGTACCTACTACCATACCTACTCCCAGGGTGAGCCTGGTAGTGGTCAGGTCCTCTGGCCTGCAGCTTTGCCCAGAGCAGGGTTTCTGCCTGGGCAAGAAGAGAGCACCCCTCCCCCACCCCCATCCCATTCCTAGTTATCTCTTCTCAGGAGGCCACTCAGTGCCTCTTTCTTTGGGCCTTGCTCCGTACACGATACACTGAGCAGTCGTCTCCAGACACTGCACGCTGCCCTGGAGCCCCAGCCAGTCTGGGTCTCCAGGTTCCAGGTACTGTGCCAGGACTCCTTCCAGAAGTAGCCACACTTCATGGTTTATTGGCTACCATAGTCATCTGGGCCTTTCTGGACTGGGTGTTCTTTTTTTTTTTTTTTTTTTTTATTTTTTTTTTTTTTTTTTTTTTTTAATGTTTTTTTAATTTATTTCTAGGAGAGAGAGAGAGACAGCGTGAGCAGGGGAGGGTCAGAGAGAGAGGGAATCACAGACTCTGAAATAGGCTCCAGGCTCTGAGCTGGCAGTCAGCACAGAGCCCGACGCGGGGCTGGAACCCACGAACCGCGAGATCATGACCTAAGCGAAAGTCAGACGCTTAACCCACTAAGCCACCCAGGCGCCCCTGGACTGAGTGTTCTATGTGGTGTCTGTCCAGGCACAATCCAGGACTGCCTCCTCCTGCTGGTAGGCACTAGGTCTCTGCTAATATAGCCTAAGGATGCATGGGAACATTTGGCTGTAGCATCTTCCTGGAAATTTGCAAGCCTTGTGGTCTCCCAAAGCCCTGGTCATTTCCCACACGTGTCAGCCAGGTCCTCTCAGCATGACCGGGTACAGTGAAGTGCTGTCTATACCTCAGCCTGGGGGAATGTCCTCACATCCCAATTTTGCCTGAGAGCCTTGTAATGGTTCTGGGACTTCAAGTGATGCCACTGCCTCAGAGCCCTGGCCACCAAGGGCATAGACATTTTGTAGGCACCCGCTGCAGGCCCAGCCCAGGGATGATTGTTTCACAGACACTTATATGGTGGGTGAAATTGTAGCCAATGGGAGTTGGTCTGGAGACAGCCTGCCTCGAGGTGTAGTCTGTGAGGACCAGGCCCCTGCACACCTGTGTCTAACAGAGGCCCAGGCGGCCGCAGCTGAATAGTGAGGAGAGGGAGTAAGGACTGAGAACTAGTTGGTCAAGTGCCTGGGCGCCAGCAGCTATTTGGGGGTATTACTGTTTACTGCTGGGCTTGGGCAGTTTCTGGAGGAGGGGGTCTGGGGTGAGGCCTTGTAGGATGAGTGGACTGAAGGTGGGGAATGGGAAACAGGCAAGAATGTGGATAGAGTTGGAAAGCTGGGGTGACCGTCAAGGCCCTTTGCAGTCCAGACCCTGCTTTGTGGACTCTGGACTTGATCCTGAGGCAGTGGAGACCAGGGGTGGTCTGAGAGCAGGAAGTAGCCCAGTCAGACTTCCACTTAGAAAGGTCAGTCTTCCATCAGAAGGCAAGTGGCTGGTGGGGGAGGGAGGGAGGCCGGTTAGGTGCCTCTGCTGTGGGACAGGGGAGAGGACAAGGCTGATGGGGGCCATGACTAGAGGTGGTCAATGGCTAGGATGGTTCAGAGATGGCCCACGTGCTTGTGCCTGCCCGCAAGGCTGGGAAAGCGGCCGTGCTAGCCATCACATGGCTGAGATCTGGCGTGAGGCCTGGCCCTGTGGCCACAGATGAACAAGTGTGTTTCTCTGCTCCAGCCCACAGCGAAGTGTGTATGGCTTCCCGTGGACGCATCCTCTTCCCTGAGTCCTGTCCTGATTTCTGCTGTGGCACCTGTCACAAACAATACTGCTGCTCTGATGTGCTGAAGAAATTTGTGTGGAATGAGGAAAAGTGTGCTGTGCCTGAGGCCAGGTGGGTTCCCGATGGTTGCAGGGTGGGAGGCCTGAGGCTGCCCCCCCTCAACCCCCGGCAGGACTATACATGAAAGGGAAATAGCCTTGCCCCTCCGGCCTCTCAGCCCCCTCAAGGTGGTAGAGCACTGGACCGGGGGTGGGGGTGGGCGTGGGGAGCCCCTGTTTGGGGCTGAGCTCCCCAGAGCTTGCTTGGTTAGCCCCTTGCCCCTTTCCCCGCAACCCTAAAGGGCTACAGCTCACTCACCTTACTCAGCCTTGGGCTGAGCAGGTTTCTCAGGGCTGGTGGCCTCAGCTGGCCCTGTGGCTCACCCCTGGGTTCGTACCTGTACCGGCAAGGTGCGTGCCACAGTGTGAGCGTGCCCCACAGTACGTGCATGTACCTGGCGGGGGATTGTATGTGATCTGTGTGGGTATCATCTTGTGGGCCCTGGAAGGCACATCGCACTCTGCACTGTGCCTGTGTCTCCTTGGCCTGGCCCGTGGATTTGCCTTGTGTCAGAGTTTAGGCCATTTCATGGGCTGGAGCCCAGGTCTCCCTTTGCTACATCTGTGTTTCTTTTGTGTTTGGCCGCAGGTGTAGAAGGGATTGGCAGGTTGATCATCACTGGTCTGTGTAAGACCAGCCCGTCATCTTACATATTTACTTTAATCTCACATGACCCTTCCATAGGCTAACAGTCTGTATGTCCTTTTCATGGCTTCTGTTTTATTTATTTATAAATTAATTTTATTTTTTAATTTGTTTTTTATTTTATTTTTTATTTTTTATTTTTTTATTTATTTCTAGGAGAGAGAGAGAGAGACAGCGTGAGCAGGGGAGGTTCAGAGAGAGAGGGAGACACAGAATCTGAAGCAGGCTCCAGGCTCTGAGCTGTCAGCACAGGGCCTGATGTGGGGCTTGAACTCACGAACTGTGAGATCATGACCTGAGCCAGAGTCGGATGCTTAACCAACTGAGCCACCCAGGAGGCCCAATTAATTTATTATTATTTTTATATTTTTACGTTTATTTGTTTTTGAGAGAGAGTGCGTGCTCATGCACAAGTGCGCAAGCATGGGAGGGGCAGAGAGAGATGGGGACAGAGGATCAGAAGGGGGCTCTGGGCTGACAGCAGAGAGCCTGACACAGAGCTCGAACTCACAAACTATGAGATCATTACCTGAGCTGAAGTTGGACCCTTAACCGACCGAGCCACCCAGGTGCTCCTAATAAAAAATTAAAAAAAATTTTTTTTAATGTTCATTTTTGAGACAGAGACAGAATGCGAGCAAGGGATGAGCAGAGAGAGAGGGAGACACAGAATCTGAAACAGGCTCCAGGCTCTGAGCTGTCAGCATAGAGCTTGACTCAGGGCTTGAACCCACCAACCGTGAGACTGTGACCTGAGCCGAAGTCAGACCCTTAAGCTTAACCAAGTGAGCCACTCAGGCATCTCCCATTTTTTAAACAAAGTTTACTTATTTATTTTGAGGGAGGGAGAGACAGAGAACATGTCTGTGTGCATGTGCATGCCTGTGGGGGAGGGGGGCAGAGAGAGGGGAACAGAGGATCCAAAGCAGGCTCTGTGCTGACAGCAGAAAGCCCGATGAGGGCTCAGACTCACTGAGCCAAAGTCAGATGCTTAATTGATTGAGCCACCCAAGCACCCCTACTTTTAAATTTTATTTGAGAGAGGCAGAGAGAGAGAGAGAGAGAGAGAGAGAGAGAGAATCCTAAGCAGGCTCCATGCTCAGTGCGTCCCTGGGATCATGGCCTGAACCGAAATCAAGAGTTGCATGTTCTACCTACTGAGCCACTTTGTGTTTTGCAAAATGGACATTGTTTTGTGGGTACAATGAACTCTCTTACCTTTTGCATCCAGCACAGTGTTTGTAAGACCCATCTGTGTGGCATTGTGTACATCTAGCCTGTGCGCACCCCCATGGTGCCGTTTTCTGTGGTGTGAGTCCTCAGCTTGGTATCCTAGATAATTGTGATGGGCAGCCTCCTGTGCTTCCTCACTCCTTCTACGGAGCCATGTGAGAATTTTGGAAGTTTATCTGGGAGCAATTGCCAGTTAGTGAGATGTATGTAGTTACTGACCAAGGACTTCCAAAGTGCTCTTGGGAATGGCAACACCAGGCTGTGTACCCTGCCAGCCATACCTGAAGATTACGTCCAGGCTTTTGGTATCCTTGTATTTATACCTGTGTCTTTTTTTAAAGAAATCCATTCCAATAATTTTTTAAAAATACAGGAGCATTTCATTTAAATTTAATGCAATTATTGTACTTGGACTATATTTGCCATCTTATGTTGTGCTTTTTATTGGTCTCTTTCCTATTCATTCTGTATTTCTTTTTAACTTACCATATTATTTTGGTTTGTTTTAATTCCATTTTTTTTCTTCTACTACTGTTTACTTCTTTTATACTCTGTATGCCTTTATTCCTTCTTGCCTCATTGCACAGACTGGGACCTCCAGTGGAATGTTGAATGGAAGTGGTGAGAGCAGGTATCTCTTTCTGGGTCTTAATTTAGGGACAAAACATTCAGTATTAGATAGGCTGCTAGCTGCAGCTTTTTCATGGGTGCCTTTTATCAGATCGAGGAAGTTGCTTTCTGTTTATGGTTTGCTTGGACTTTTAGTCATGAAGAGATCTTTTTTTTAGTCATGAAGGGATCTTGAATTTTGTCAAATAGTTCCGTTGCATACAGATTTTTTTCCCCTAGGTAATTAATCTTTTTTAAAAACTTTTTTTTTTAAAGTTTATTTATTTGTTTTTGAGAGAGAGAGAGAGATGACACAAGTGGGGGTGGGGCAGAGAGAGAGAAGACACAGAAACCGAAGCAGGCTCCAGGCTCTGAGCTGTCAGCACAGAGCCCGTTGTGGGACTTGAACCCACAAACCGTGAGATCATGACCTGAGCTGAAGTCAGACGCTTAACTGAGCCATCCAGGCGCCCCTCTTTTTTACAAATCTTTCATGCCTTTAAAAAAATTATTTTTTTTTCGGGGCGCCTGGATGGCTCAGTCAGTTAAGCATCTGACTTCGGCTCAGGTCATGATCTCCCGGTTTGTGGGTTCGAGCCCTGCGTCGGGCTCTGTGCTGACACCTAGCTCAGAGCCTGGAGCCTGTTTCAGCTTCTGTGTCTCCCTCTCTCTCTGACCCTCCCCTGCTCACGCTGTCTCTCTCTCTCTCTCTCTCTCTCTCAGAAATAAATAAAAAACATTAAACATTAAAAAAAATTTTTTTGATGTTTAGTTTTGACAGAGAAACTGAGCGTGAGTGGGGGAGGGACAGAGAGAGAGGGAGACACAGAATCTGAAGCAGGCGCCAGGCTATGAGCCATCAGCGCAGATCCTGACACAGGGCTCAAACTTAAGGACCCCGAGATCATGACCCAACCTGAAGTTGGACACCCAGCCAACAGAGTCACCCAGGCAAATCTTTGGTGCCTTTTAAAAGGGACATATTTCGGCACAACGAGGTGGCTTAGTCGGTTGAGCTTCCAACTTGGCTTGGGTCATGATCTCATGGTTCATGAGTTCAAGCCCCATGTCAGGCTCTGTGCTGACAGCCCAGAGCCTAGAGCCTGCTTCATGGATTCTGTGTCTCCCTCTCTCTCTGCCCCTTCCCCACTTGTATTCTGTCTCTGTCCCTCTCAAAAATAAATAAAACATTAGAAAAAAAATTTTTTTTAATTTAAAAAAGGAGCATATTTCTGGGGCACCTGGCTGGCTCAGTTGGAGGAGCATGTGACTCTTGATCTCAGGGTCATGAGTTCGAGCCCCACGTTGGGGACAGAGATTATTTAAATAAATAAAAATTTAAAAGAAATATATTTCTTTTGGGTAAATATCTTGGAGTAAAATTGCTGAGTCATTGGTTGCATGTGTTCAGCTTTGGCAGACAGTTCCAGGTTTCTTTTCTTTTTATTTTAACATTTATTTGTTTATTTTTTTTAGTGAGAGACAGAATATGAGTGGGGGAGAGGCAGAGAAAGGGGGAGACACAGAATCTCAGGCAGACTCCAGGCTCTGAGCTGTCAGCACATAGCTGGACGCGGGATTTGAACTCACAAACTGTGAGATCATGACCTGAGCAGAAGTCAGACCCTTAACCGACTGAGCCACCCAGGCACCCCACTTCCAGGTTTTTAACATTGCACCATTTACACTCTTGCCAGTCATATATTGGATGCCAGTTTGCTGTACGTCCTCTCTAAACGTAGCATTGTAAGTCATTTTTTAAAATTGAGGTATAATCACATATAGCAAAATCACAGGTCTGAATGTTTCAGTTTGATGAGTTTTAATAAATGCATATTTCTCACATATAGTACCTCAGTCAAGATCTAGATCATTGCTGGGGTGCCTGGGTGGTTCAGTCAGTTAAGTGTCCGACTTCAGCTCAGGTCATGATCTCACAGTTCGTGGGTTTGAGCCCCGCATCGGGCTCTGTGCTGATAGCTCAGAGCGGAGCCTGCTTCAGATTCTGTATCTCCCTCTCTCTCTGACCCTCCCCTGCTCTTGCTCTCTCTCTCAGAAATAAATAAAAACATTAAATTTTTTTTTAAAAAGATCTAGATCATTGCTATTTCCCAGAAGGTTTTAATTTCAGTAATTTTGGTGAATGTGTGGTAATACTTCATTGTGTTGTTTTAAGATATAAGTCTTTTGAAACTTATTGAGACTCATTTTATGACCCAGCCTGTACTGTACCTTGGTACATGTTTCATATAAACTTGAAAAATGGCATATTGTGCAGTTGTTGGGTGTAGTGTTTTATAAGTGTCATCAAGTTGGTTGACAATAGTGTAGTTCCTTTCTGCCTTTATTGGTTTTGTCTGCTTATTTTTTTTTTTTACAGTTTGAATCTTTAATCTTTTTTTTTTTTTTTACAAATAGTTTATTGTCAAATTAGTTTCCACATAACACCCAGTGCTCATCCCCACAAATGCCCTCCTCCATGCCCATCCCCCCTCCCCCTCACATCCATCAGTCCTCAGTTTTTATCAGCATTAAAGAGTCTCTCATGGTTTGCCTCTCCCCCTTTCCCCCACCATTTCCCCCCTTCTTCTCCCCCTTGTTCCTCAGTTAAGTTCCTCCTAATCCTCCTATACGTGCAAACATACGATATTTGTCCTTCTCTGCCTGACTTATTTCTGGTTTTGTCTGCTTATTTTATCGATTACTGGAGACCACAGATATGCTTATTGTTTTAGTTCTGTCAGTATTTGCTTCATGAGTTCTGATGCTTTGTTATTAGGTATATACGTATTTAGGATTGGTTTGACTTCCTGATGAATTGTTTATCTTAACATGTGTAATGTCCCTCTTTATCTCTTATATAACCATTATAAGCCTCAAAGACAGTATTTTAATTGCTTTTGACAGTGAACATTTATTTATATTTATCCATATATTTATCTTCTCTCTGCCTCTTACTGCTTCCTGCATCTTTAAGCCTCACCTGAGTTCATGTTCCTTCTACCTCTCATGCAGGTATGCTGGTGTCAAATTTTCTTGGTTTTTGCTTCTCTGAAAATGTCCTTATTTCACCTTCCTTCTTAAAGGATATTTTTTGGGGCGCCTGAGTGGCTCAGTCAGTTAAGTGTCCGACTTCGGCTCAGGTCATGATCTCACGGTTCATGGGTTTGAGCGCTGCATCGGGCTCTGTGCTGGCAGCTCAGAGCCTGGAGCCTTTTTCAGATTCTGTATCTCCCTCTCTCTCTGACCTTCCCCTGCTCATGTTCCATCTCTCTGTCTCAAAAATAAATAAACTTTAAAAAAATAAATAAAAATAAATAAAAAAGGATATTTTTTCCAGTTATAGATTTCTAGGTTGGTAGCTATTAACTTCTTTCAGCACTTTAAAGCTTTCATTTCTTTTTTTTTTAAGTTTATTTATTTTTTTTTAGTAATCTCTACACCCATTGTGAGGATCAAACTTATGACCCTGAGATCAGGACTCCTTGCATACTCTTCCTGCTGAGCCAGCCAGGCACCCCATTCCATTGTCTTCTAATGTCTATCATTTCTGTTGAGAAACCAGTTGATGGTCTAATGATTGCTCCTTTGCAAGCACCATGGTTTCTCTGACTATTTAAAAAAATTTTTTCTTAATGTTTATTTTTGAGAGAGAGAGAGAGTACAAGTGGGGAGGGACAGAGAGAGTGGGAGACTCTGAAGCAGGCTCCAGACTCCAAGCTATCAGCACAGAGCCCGGCATGGGTCTCAAACTCACAAACCACGGGACCATGACCTGAGCTGAAGTTGGACACTCAACCAACTGAGCCACTCAGGCGCCCCAATGTTTATTTTTTTATTTTTATTTATTTAAAAAATGTTTAATGTTCTTTTATTTTTGAGAGAGAGACAGAGAGATGGAAAGACAGAGCATGAGCAAAGAGAGATGGAAATGCAGAATCTGAAACAGGCTCCAGGCTCCAAGCTGTCAGCACAGAGCCTGAAATGGGGCTTGAAGCCATGAACCATGAGATCATGACCTGAGCTGAAGACGGACACTTAATCGACTGAGCCACCAAGGCTCCCCTTTCTCTTTGGTCTTGTGTCCATGCTGTCTAGTGTCCTAGTTTCTGAAAATTTTGTAATATGTGCCTAACATTAAATTTGCAAAATTGGCCATAGAAATTTTGAGCTCAGGACTTCTTCCAGGGAGGACTTGTCTTGCTTTTGCCCCGGACACAGCACTCTCAGGCCTCCTTGGCCTAACTGCAGAGGCCGAGAGGACTGGCTGCTGAACTGTCTGCTCACTTTTGTCCTTGTTCTTGGGGTGCAGCTTTTTAGGGCTCATCCCAAGTGGGGGGGCATCATCAGGGCCCCCTCACCTGGTGGGCTCTGAGTCTAATCTCTACTCAGAAGTGCTACTCAGCCACTCAGCTGCCTCTCTGAAGTCGGCTAGTGCCCCCAGGAGAAACAGGGCCTCAGTTACCAGGGCCTCCATGGGTCTCTCTTTCCAGCCTTCCACATACCAGCCTGGTATCCTTTGCTCTGTTATTGCTCACCAAAGCCTACATACCGATTTTTTTAAAGTTTTATTTATTTAAGTAATCTCTACACCCGACCTGGGGCTTGAACCCGTGACCCTGAGATCAAGAGTCGCAAGCTTTTCTGACTGAGCCAGCTGGAAGCCCTTGCACACTGATATTTATTTGTTTGTTTGTTTGTTTATTGTCAAGTCAGTTTTCATATAACACCCAGTACTCATTCCAACAGGTGCCCTCCTTTATTAAAACCCATCACCTCTTTTCCCCTCTCTCCCAACCCCCTCAACCCTCAGTTTGTTCTCAGTATTTAAGAGTCTCTTACACTGATTTTTAAAAAGTACTTTCTCCTCAGCTTCAGTTTTCCTTCAAATTTAGGGTGTAGTTGTTCCTCATGCTTTTAAATTTTGTCCTACATTTAACGCAATATATACAAAAGCAAGAGAATAATATAATTACTCCACATCCATCACCTGCTTCCGTAGCAACCATAGCAACCATACCAACACTCTGACCATATACTTCCCACCACTTTTTTTTCCTGATTATTTTAGAATAAAATAAAAATTAAACCATCATAAGATTTCTCCTTAAATGTTAATTTTCATCTGTACAAATGAGTCCTTTTTATTTTTTAATTTTTTAAATAGTTTATTGTCAAGTTGGTTTCCGTATAACACCCAGTGCTCATCCCCACAAGTGCCCTCCCCCATGCCCATCACCCCCCTTCCCCTCTCCTCCACCCCCATCAACCCTCAGTTTGTTCTCGGTATTCAAAAGTCTCTCATGGTTTGCCAAATGAGTCCTTTTTAAAGAAATATAACCACTATATCAATAACACATTTGGCACAATTAACAGTAATTCATTAATAATTTTATTAAAACATTTTTAAAGTTTATTTATTTATTTTGAGAGAGACAGAGAGAGCACAGGCAGGGGAGGGGCAGAGAGAGAGGGATAGAGAAAAATCCCAAGCAATCTCCATACTGTCAGTGCAGATCCTGAAGCAGGGCTCGAACTCACAAAACTGAGATCGTGACCTGAGCGGAAATCAGGAGTCGGTCGCTTTACCAACTGAGTCCCTAGCGTTTCTCTTTTAACTTTGTGACATGGTAATCTTCCTTTGCTGGTTTCTAGCTTTGTAGCATTGTGGTTGGAAAAGATACTTTGTATGATACCAATCTTTTCAAATCTATTGAGCCTTGTTTTGTAGCCTTACCTGTGGTCTGTACTGGAAAACGTTTCCATGTGCACTTGAGAAAAATGTGTGTGTGGGGGGGTGGGGGGCACCTGGGTGGCTCAGTTGGTTAAGAGTCCAACTTCGGCCCAGGTCATAATCTCACGTCTATGGGTTCTGGCTGCCAGGGCTTGAGGTGAATGGGACCACCCCGGGAGCACCTGTCCCTCTGTGCTGACAACTCAGAGCCTGGATCCTGCTTTGGATTCTGTGTCTTCCTCTCTCTCTGCCCACCCCCACTCACATTCTCTCTCTCTCTCTCAAAAATAAAATAAAAATGAAAAGAGAGAGAGAGAGAGAGAGAGAGAAGAGCGTATGGCATTCTCACCTGAGATCCTGGTGTGTGTGGTAGTCCTACTCAGGAGGCCATTAGGACTTCTCACCGGCCCCGTACAGGACTGGCTTTTGTGCATGTTGTGTGTGTGCACTAAGGTCGCCTTTGTTCCTGGCGTGCTGGGTGAGGCTCAGGTGTGTTAATTGTGAGTTTTCCTCTTTGCAGTGTGTCCACTGATAAAGAGCCGCTGGAGCAGCTGGGCTCGGCGCTGAGGTTTCGTTCCAGCTTGGACAGTGACCCCATGTCAGGGTAAATAAATCCTGAGGCTGGGTGTGTCTTCCTGGTCAAGGTGACAAGGGGCTCAGTGGCCCAGAGTGAGAGCTGTGGGGACGGGAATGCCACAGAGTCATTGTAGTGACTAGCTCCAGAGGCTGACCGCCAGGTCCCTTGCTCCTTACGTTGGAAAGTTGTGGCCTCATCATTGTACCAGGGATGGAGGACTATGGTTGACAGTTGAAAGGCCAAGGGTGGGGATCCATACGACCTAGGTGATGAGGAGAACATGAGGTGACAGTGGTGACAGGGCGGTGTGATGGTGTTGGCAATGGGGAAATGGCGGTGATGTGGTGGGGCTTTGGTGGGGATGGTGATGGGGTGATGGTGGTGTCAGGGGTGACGGGGGTGACGGCAGTGGGCGATGTGGCGCAGGTGCATGGTGATGAGGTAATGATGGAGGGGTAAAGATGCTGGGACCACTGATGACACCCGGTCCCTGTGTCAGGGCTTGTGAGTCATGGTTGCTGTGTCAGGGCCCTTCTGTTAAGGGGCAGGGGAACATCCCCTTCTCCCAAAGCTCAGTTCCCTCGGCCAGGTTCCTGCTCTGTCTTGTTGCCGTCACCGCCAGGTGTTGTGACGCACGTTTCGTGTGGATGGGGTAAGCGTGCAGCCACTCGTGTGTTTGTGTTTTCCTGGTGGGGTCTGCTCCACATGCCGCCTGCCCGCCTGGTGGATCTAGAAGCCCCTTTTGGGAGAAGATCTGCCCAGGCCTGGTTGCCCCTTTGGAGGAAGAGACTCTGGGCTCCGGGCCTGCGCGGGGGTCCAGGTGCTTGCCTGCCCCATCCTGCTCTGTGGGCCTGGATGTGGAATCAGATGGGGCATTTGGGAGTGGGGAGGAAAGAAGTGCAGCCTGTGGTCCCCCCTCAGCGCCCAGGGCCCGGCCTCTGTCTGCTGGCGGATCCTGCCCTCTTGGCTGACTGGGGACTGATGCCTTGATGTGCCCCTCCCTCCACACCCAGGGACTGCTCTTCCTCTGTTGAGCTCCAGAACTGTGGGCTTTCTGATGGCCCCACAGGCCATTCTGGTGTCCAGCCAGTGTGGGCCAGGGGCCGTCCAGGAGCGGGCCTTGTCCTGACAGCGGGCAGCATGGGGGTTCTGGGAAGGGCTGGTCTGAATGGTGTTTTAGGAAGACCACTCTGGCTCTTCTATGGAGGATGAAGAGAGCAGGCAGGGACGGGGTGGCGGGCGGCTAACGGGAGGCAGCCATGGCTTCCTGGTCCAAGGTGTTGGGAGTCTAGAGGGAGACTGGGCTTGGCAGGGTGCGATGAAGCTAGAGACGGGGGCGGGGGGGGGGGGGCGCATTCAGCAGCTGCCTGCTAGGGAGGGGGCAGGGGTCCGGGCCTGTGAGAGGATGCGGGACAAGGAGCGGGTCTGGGGTGAAGGGCTCAGGTTGGGTGACAGGAGTGATGAGGACTGAATCTGAGGGTCAGCAGTATTTGAAGAATGGCCTCAGGAGGAGCTGAGAGGGAGGGTTCAGAAAAGTGGGAGGAGGGAGGAAGACGCCCGGTCTCTGGGGTATTGAGAAATGTGGATGCCACACCACAGAGGCCACGGCACCTGTGGCAGGAGCCGTTCAGGGCAGCGGATTGAAGAGTGAGTTGGAAATGGGTTGGGTGAAGTGAGTGTAGACAGCTTCAGGGAGAGATCTGGCCGTGAACCAGCGAGGAGTAAGGAGTCGGAGGAGAGTCAGGGTGAAGAAGGGCTTCTTCGGTGCTGGCGGAGACTTGAGCTGGGAACGGGGACGGAGGGGACAAGGTCCCCGAGGGACATAGAGGAGTGGCTGCCGGGGCTTGAGGTGAATGGGACTGTCGCGGGAGCACCTGTCCCTCTTTGAGGTGTACACCAGTCACCAGGACTGGTGAGCTGGCCTCACGCCGCAGCGTGCACATCTCTGTGCCTGGTGGGGGCGCCGCTGCCTCCCGCCCTGGCTGGGCCCGTGCTGCCTCCCGCCCCAGGTGTGCTGTCTGCTGAGAAGCTCAGTGTCAGCGGTAATGCTGTCCGGCTTGCCCGCACCCTGCCCTGTCCCATCTCTCCTCTGCTTTCGGACCAGAGCCCCTGTGTCTCTCATCGCACTTGTCTTAATAAAGGTTTAGGTCTTGGGAAGCAGGGGCCGGGCCGGCAGAAGGGCAGGGTCACCGACGACACCTCTGTGAATGCCCTCAGGTGGCTGCCTGTCCATTCTCTCAGGTGGGCACCTGTGTGCTGCCCCCTGGGCCTTGGGTGCTGTTTATCCACTGGAGTGTGGGCTCCTTGGTGGGGGCCAGCTCCTGCTGCCCAGGCCATGGCTGGGGGCTCCAGAGAAGCTGCCATAGGAGCAAAAACCCCTTGTCTCCCTCTGGGTGGCTCCTTGGGTTCCCCAAGCATGAGGCACCAGGTCAGAGCACAGGGACCCAGATGTGACCGCTTCTGCCTGTCAGAGCCTGGATGGGTGGTATCTTCTCTCGATGTGGCTCTGTGCTCCCTGTGGTGTGACTGTGTCATCTGGGGGCCTGGGGTTGGCCCAGGACTTCTGCTGCCTGCTCCCCAGCTTTGGCAGGGGAGCTGCATCCTGCCCTGGTTGAACGGTCAGTGGCTGTATCCGTTTTTGGCTTGTTCTCTCCCCAAAGCTTCCTTGCTCCCCTGTCATGGTTCTTTTGGATCCTGATTTCATTGTCCCTTCCCAGTCCCTTGCCGCTCATGGGTGGTCAGGCAGGACTGGCGTGTTCTTAAGCACCTGGCTGGCAGGGGATGCATGGCTTCAGACCCCAGGCAGGCTGCTGCCGCCCCTCCATCCTGACTCTGCTGTGACAGTGTATGGGAAAGGCGTACAGGCCCCTGGGGTGAGCCGAGGCCATGGTGCACCTGTCCTGGCCCCTCCCACAGCTCTCACACCCACTGTGTTGTGGCCGGTCCACTGGCTTGCCAGCATCATGGTGAGAGTGCTGGTGTCCCTCCCCCACAGATGGCCTTTCCCTAGTCTGAACATTGGGAGGCTTTGGCCTTCTGGGGTTGCCCAGTTTAGCCCCACCTGCTCCCTGACTGGGCTGTTTTCTGAACTTGGCCTTTGGAGTCTTTGATCTGGGAGGTAGCCCTAACCTTGGGAACACCATTCCTTCCTCTCAGAGGCATGGTTCCACTGGAACTCTGGCCATTGGGACCACAGGCCCCTGCCACACAGCAGCCACACCTCAAATATTACCCTTCCTCAGAGCATCATGGCTGGCTGTCCAATGAGGTGCTGCCCATGGGTCCCTGAGTGAAATTTTCATCAGATACTTATTGAACACCTACTGTATGCTAGGCACTGGAGATACAGTGATGGCCCGGAGCAGGTGCAGTCTGTCCCTCTGTGAATCCACAGGCTGGAGGCAAGGTACATGTTAATCGAATGCTCACATTGAGTATGTGCTTATAAATTGAGGTAGACAGGAATTTCATTCTGAAAGAGCACTTATCTGCTCTTACCTGAACTTATCTGCATGAATTTAATCTGCATAGTCAGGGGAAGTGTCCCTGGGGAAATAATATTTTGAGCTGAGTTCTGAAAGGTGAACAGAAATTAATTACATGGGGGTGAGACAAAGAGAAGAGTGGACCAGGCAGGAGGCACTGCATGTGCAAAGGCCCTGAGGTAAGATACAGCATGAGTCTTTGCAAAGCTGAAAGAACACAGAGCACAGGTGGGAGTCTGAGACCACACAAGTTTTTTTTTTTTTAATTTAGATTTTTGTTAATTAAAGATTAAAATTTGTCTTATTGTAAGACTTCCTATCTGGTGAGACAAATCCTAGATTTTTTTTCCTTTTTTTGTCAACTATAAATATATATACAGAAAAGTACAAATAGATACACATGATTTTTTAATTAAAAAGATTTTTAAGACTTAATTTTATTTTAATTTTTGGGGCACCTGGGTGATTGTCATTTCAGCGTCTGACTCTTGATTTTGGCTCAGGTCATGATCCCAGGATCGTGGGATTGAGCCCCATGTTGGGCTCAGTGCTGAGTGTGGAGCCTCCTTAGGATTCTCTCTGTCTCTGTCTCTGTCTCTCTTTCTCTTTCTCTCTAACCCTCTCCCCCATTCACACACTCTCTCTCTAAAAGAAAATTTAGGGGCGCCTGGATGGCTCAGTTAAGCATCGTACTTCTGCTCAGGTCATGATCTTACCATTTGTGAGTTTGAGTCCCACATCAGGCTCTCTGCTGTCAGCATAGAGCCTGCTTCAGATCCTCTGTCCTCCTCTCTCTCTGCCCCTCCCCCAAGGGCTCTCTCTCTGTGTCTCTCAAAAAAAATTTTTTTTAATGTTCATGTGTCTTTGAGAGAGAGAGACAGAGTGCGAGTGAGGGAGTTGCAGAGAAAGAGGGAGACACAGAATCTGAGCTGTCAGCCCAGAGCTCAATGTGGGGCTGACAAGCCATGAGATCATGACCTGAGCTGAAGTCAGATGCTTAACTGACTGAGCCACCCAGGTGCCCCCCAAATTAAAAAATAAAATAAAATAAAATAAAAATTTATTTATATTAAAATATCTGAGCTTTCTTTTCTTCTTCTTCTTTTTTTTTTTTCTTTTTTACATTTATTTGAGAGAAGGATCATGCATGCATGAGTGTGTGTGAATGAGGGAAGGGTAGAAAGAGAGGAGAGAATGAATCCCAGCTAGGCTCTGTGCTGTCAGCATGGGCTCCTCGGCCGGGCTCATTCTCACAAGCTGTGAGATCATGCCCTGAGCCAAACTCAAAAGCCAGATGCTTAACTGACTAAGCCACCCAGGCATCCCAATTTTTTTACTTTTAAGTATTCTCTGCACCCAATGTGGAGCTTGAACTCAACAACCTGAGATCAAGAGTCATGTGCTCTACTGACTGAGCTGGCCAGGTACCCTAGATAGAGTTTAACGAGTAAATTATAAAGCAAATTCCTGTTTGATTCCAAGAGCTATGGGAGCCATAGCAGGCTTTTGAGCAGGAGTAGTATGATCAGACCTGGCAGGTTGGCCAGTGGCACTTGAGGAGGCACCTATATCATCCTGGCAGGGCAGGCTACTGGTTTGGACCATGTGCTGGTGGGAGACGGGGAACTGAGGGGACTCATGTGTCATCCAGGAAGCCCTGGGGGTCTGTCACGGTATCTGTCAAGGAGAATAGCTGGCACAGGGCTGGTGGGCTGAGTTGGGGCTGAGCAGCAGTGTGGCTTGGGCACTCAGGGCATCTCCGATCCCATGGCAGCGTCTAGGCAGGAGGATGGATGGACAGCCTTGGTGAGAGGCCAGGTAGGGGCAGGCGAGGCTGGGGATGCAGCTCTGGGAGGCCCGCCTGAGCACCTTGGCTTCCCTGCCTGCTCCTGGCCCCTGTGGCGCAGCTGGGCCTCGCTGTGTCTTTAAGGGCTCTGTGCTGCTCTTCCTGCCATGACGTCAGGGATAGGGGAGGGCCAAGATTTGCTTTCCCTTTCCTCGAAAGGGGAGGAGATTGAAACTGAGTGGCCCATGATGGAAAGAGGGGAAGTCCAGGGTTCCTGGAGTCCCCGGAGTCAAGGCGGAGGCTAACATGGGGTGAGCTTGGGTGCCATACTGTGTGTGTGTGTGTGTGTGTGTGTGTGTGTGTGTTTCTCTTCCTTGGGGGCAGCAGCGGGTCTGGGAGGAGCTTGTGAGTCAGGGGAAGGTGAGGGGCCCACACAGTGGCCAGTGGTTCCTGTTTTGCAAATACGGTTGTGGATTTTGGAGTCCAGAGCCTGACAGGTCTGTCTGCGCCGGCTCCTGGGCTGTGTGGGCCCCTGCTGAGGCGGTGCTGCCCCTCTGGACTGTGAGGGGAAGCTCCTCCACCCAGGGTGGGGCATAGCCTTCCTCTGGGTCTTCAGTAGAGGCAGAGGCTCTACAGCTCACCAAACTCCTTCCAAGTTTTATTTTTTTTATTAAAAAAATTTTTTTGAAGTAGTCTCCATGCTCAGTGTGAGGCTTGAACTCATCCTGAGATCAAGAGTCTCATCCTCTATCAACTGAGCCAGCTGGGTGCCCCTCCTTCCATGTTTTTTAATTTTTAATTTTAGAGAGAGTGTGAGTGGGGAAGAGGGGCAGGAGGAGAGAGAGAATCTCGACCAGGATCCGTTCAGCATGGAGCCTGACATAGGGCTTGATCTCACAACTCTGGGAGCATGACCTGAGCTGGAATCAGGAGTTGGACGCTCAACCGAATAAGCCACCCAGGCCCGCCCTCCTTCCATGTTTTAGGTGCAGGTCAGCAAGAACGTGCATTTTCTTAGAATAGAGCTTGGTCCCTGGCACCTGTGGAGAAGAACAAGGGGCTCTGTCTGTCCTTGAAAGTCAATTTTAGTGACCTTCCTGCCCCAAACTGTTCTTTCTTAAAGCCCTTCCACTTGGTTGTGGTCCTTGCTGAGGGCCTGGCATCAGGCAGGGAGGCCTCGTCTTCCAGAGGGCAAGGTTACTACCTCCAGCACCCCCAGGTCATCTACCTGGCTCATTGTTTACCCACCTGCCATGCTGGCCAGAGCGTGGGAGCCCACCCACTGGTACAGTGCTTGGCATCCAGGCGGCTCACTGTCACTCCGGGGTGGGGGGTGAGGGGGGGGGCAGCAGCCTGCTCTGGGGCCAGTGCTGAGGCTGTGTTCTCTGCATGGCTCTTCTCACTGTTTGGGCCATACTGCCTCGGCTCTCCTGGAATTTCTCCCCATCTTTGTCCCTCATGCTTCCGTAGTCATTTTACCTTCAACGTCTGCCTCCTGCACTGGGCTGTGGGCTTCTGGAGGCCATGGGTGGGTCTGTCTCACCCTCTGCTGAGTTTCTGGCTTTGTGGCATGTGCCCAATAACTGTCTGCTGACTGGGTGGAGGTGGACAAGATGGGTGTATGGTGGGGAGGTGCTGGAAGAACTCCCTGCCGTGCTCCTGGGGTGGGGCAAGAGGGGTAGACCTTGGGTGCTTTACACTGACTCACAAGACAACCTCTTTTTACATGTGAGAAAACAGGTCCTGAAAGAGGTTCAAGCTACAAGCTACAACCTAGAAGTTGCTCTGTGTTGCCCAGAGTCTCCTCTGGCAAGAGAGGTGCCCCTGGGGATGGTGGGGGTGTGGACTGCTGGTCCTGGGCAGGGGTGAGAGGCCCTGGGTCATGATTGGCTCTTTGGCAGGTTTGGGGCAACCGTAGCCATCGGCTTGACCATCTTTGTGCTCTCTGTCGTCACCGTCATCATCTGTTTCACCTGCTCCTGCTGCTATCTCTACAAGATGTGCTGCCGGCCACGTCGTAAGCACGCCCATCCCCTCCCCACCCCGCTGTGACCCTTGGTGTATGGGGTGCAGACCCCAGGCAGCAAGGAGAGCCGAGCGGCACCCTGACTTGGCTAAGCCAGAGTGAGGGGTGGCGATTGTCTTGACTGGGATTCTCTTTGCAGCGGTCGTGACCACCACCACGGCCACCACCGTGGTACACACCCCTTACCCTCAGCCTCCAAGTGTGCCACCCAGCTACCCTGGACCGATGTACCAGGGCTATCACCCCATGTCCCCACAGCCAGGGATGCCAGCGGCACCCTACCCAACGCAGTACCCGCCACCTTACCCTGCCCAGCCCCTGGGCCCCCCAGCTTACCATGAGACATTGGCCGGTGAGTACCACTGCCAGCTCTGACCCTTCCTGAACCCCCTAAATCTCCTGCCTCTGCCCCTTCACACTGCAGCCCCTCGTGCTCATAACCAACTAGTATCCTCTCTATTTTCAGGAGGTGCGGCCGTGCCCTACCCTGCCAGCCAGCCTCCTTACAACCCGGCCTACATGGACCCCCCGAAGGCAGCCCCCTGAGCAGGTCCCTGCATCTCTGGCTGCCACCGTGTGTGTGTGTGTGTGTGTGTGTGTGTGTGTGTGTGTGTGTGTGTGCGCGCGTGCGTGCGTGTGTGTGTGTGTACACGGCATGGTCCTTTTCTCCCCGTGCGTGGTGTGTGGTTCCTTTTTGTACATGACACTTCTTGTGATGCTGACGTGGTGGGGAGCAGTCCTTGACAGAGTTGCTGGGACCCTGCTTTGTTCTCTTCCTCACTTGAAATCGTGCTCTTTTGAAATCTCATGCAAAATTCAAAGGCTGGGGTGAGTTTTCCCATGCCACCCCGGGGAGACCAGGCGGGGCTTGTCATGCTAGGCTAGACAGCTTTCTGTGGGCAGGGTGTATATACATCCCGGTTTCAGTGGAGCGGCTAGCCACTGCTTGAGGCCATGGCCTGTGCCCAGGGTATGGGGGACTCTTCAGAAAACCAAGGCTATGATGCAGGCCTGTGGGTGAGGCTTGGGACCTGGCCAAGTTGGGTTTTAATCCTTTCAGCAGATGTCCCCTAGTCCCCAGATCCTGTGTCATGCCCAGTGAAGGGCTGGAGCCTCCTGAGATCAAAACACTTCAAGTAGATCCCCACCTGCCCCCGACTGCTGTCTGCCTGGACGGTCCCTGCATCCTCCCCGGCACCGCCCAGAGGGCCATGTCCACGCCAGTTCCAGCTGTCCTGGCTGGCTGTGACCCCCACCATGGGTAGGCAGGGTAGCCTCTGTCCACCGACACACTCAGGTGTCCTCCCTGCAGTGTTTTTATTTCCTTTTTAGCCAAACATTTTGCCTGTTTTCTGTTTCAAAGTGTGTATGATAGTTGTTGTGAGGCTGAAACCCCTGAGTCCTGGAGGAAAACTGGCCCACAGAGAGACGGTCTGACCTCCGATAGTCCCTGCTTCTCCTGTCACCAGCTTCATGGAACATCCAGCTCCCGTTCCCAGGTCCACAGTGTGTCTTGGCACCTGGGACACCTGGGCCAAGGGGCCATCTGGACCACAGGTGTGGGGGGCCTAGGTGGCTGCTCTGGCCCAGACATGAATACCTCGGTGTTCCCTGTCCAGATCTGTCTTAGCTTTGTGCCTGTTAATGTGCTTGAGAGCCTAGGGTCTGCACCTTTGTTTATAATAAATGCAAACATTTGGGGCTGCTGCCTCCTTTCTTCAGAGCCTTGGCTACTGGGACAGGGCATTAGGCTACGTACCATTTTCATTCACCTCTTGGATTTCCATGTTTTCCTGCCTTCCCTGGGCTCAGATGTCTGACCATCCTGCTAGGGAGGGTGAAGGCAAAGATGGTGCCACCCTCTGTGTCCCCCTCCCCGGGTGCCTTGAATGTGGGCAGAGGTGCAGGAGGCTCTAAGGCTGCCAAGGAGGGTAGAGGTGAGTGGCCACTCAGTGCTGTGGGGGTGTCTTTATTAGTTAGAATTTCCTTCTTGGCCTATTGCCCAGGTGTGGCCAGGGACAGCCCATACAGCATGGCTATTGCCAAGGTCAGGAAGGCCAGCATGCCCAGTGGGGCCAGCAAGCCCTCCCTGGGTGAGGCTCCAGGGGCCTTCATTGGAAGAAGGGCTTTGGGCTTTCTGCCCCTGCCAAGGTTTGGACTAGTGTCCCTGGCTCCAGCCAGGGATACAGTGGCTGTGGTGGCAGATGGTCCTGGTTTGGTTCCAGCAGAGGCTATGACCCTGTACATGGGCTTGACAGTGCTGAAGGGTCTGGCGTGAGCATCCAGCCACTGCAGCAGGGCCTGTGGCCTCCACTGACAGATGCTGAGCAGGGTTAGGACGTCCCCCTCTGCCATGTGGGAGTCCGCTGGGGCCTGCCCGTACAGGCGTGTGTAGATGCTGCTCAGGCTGTAGCTCTTCCTTGGGCCATGCTCCGAGGGGCTGCCGGCTCGCTCCAGGGCCTTCAAGGCAGCAATGCTATCTACACAGAAGGCACCATCCAGAACACTGGCCAGGCCTAGTGAAGCTAGCTCTGCTTGGAGCAAGGGGAAGTCATAGCGGTCGCCGTTGTGTGCCACAAGGCACCAGGGCTGTGGCTGGCGCTGCAGGAAGGCGTGGAGCAGGTTGGCCAGGTCGGCATCAAAGCGTTGACGCCCGTGAGCTGCTAGCACTGCTGTGCTCAGGCCCGTGATCTTACTGGCTTCTGGGCTGCAGGCCTTCCCTGGAGCCACACACAGAGAGAGCTTGTCCACCACCCGAGGTGGTGGGGGCACTGTGGGAGGCTGCCCCTGAGGAGTGGGTAGGCTCTCCAGGGCACATCTGTGGATGGCTAGCAGGCACAGCTCCGTGACCTTGGGCCGGGAGGAAGGCAGGCCAGTGGCCTCCAGGTCCAAGAAGATGAGGGTCTGCACAGGACCCAGGGGTGGGGCCTGCGAGCCCATGGTGGGTACCTGCCGATGAGCCTGGGGAGGAGCATGGGGTGGGGAGGGGGTGTATGAGTGCCCAGTGGAAAGAGCTGAAGCTGGTGGGAGTAGGGTGGGCAGGAACACATCTTTGGCCTTCTCTGCACAGGCTAGCACTGTCGGTGAGCTCCAAGACCTGTTTCCAGAGCAGGAAGCCAGAGAGGGTGGGGTAGTTTCCTAAGGGGGACCGGCACTTTCAACTGTTTGGGGGGAAGGCTTGGCTCCTCCCCTAGGGCCCACCTAGTCTGGGCCTGGGGCCCTCCCACCCTGCCCCATCCCCAAAGGGGTCCTCACTTACCAAGTAGCAGGCAGGCAGCAATGACTCGGGTGCAGTCTGGCTGGTTCTTGCTGCTGGCAGCAGTGGCGGGAAGCGAAACTTAGTGTGAACCCGCCTATGGGCTGTCCTGTGCGAGGCCCGCCCTGCTTGTCAGCCTGCCAGGTCTGCCCCTCCCCAGCCTCCCCCCTTGTGACTCCCTGAAGGCCTCAGACCTACAGCTGCGGGCCTGCTGGCTGGCACAGTGTGCCAGAGCCCTCACGCCATGAGAACCAGCCCAGAAGATGAGGGCAGTGTGCCCAGGCCATTGGGGAAGACTAGCTCCAGGCCTCACGCCTGCCAGGAACCCCTGCTGTGGCCACTTTGCACCCACTCCTTGCCCCCACTTTCTCGGGTCTCCCCGGTGTAGGCCAGGGCTGATGGCTGCCTCCCCTGCCACAGGATGGTTTCTTCTCATGGCCTCAGCCCAAAGCGATGACTCAGGACAATTCCATGGGCAGGGCAGGGCTCCTTCCTCAGGGCAGATTTGTTACCATGGGGACAGGGTCTCAGCCTGAGCCAAGCCCGGGACAGGAAGAAGGAACCCAGCCTTCCCTGGATCCCGCTCCTGCGCCATCCCTCCCACTCAGATCATCCCTCCGACACAGATCAGACTCAGGAAACATCACACGGCTGGCGTGTTCTCAAACAGCCCTTCACTGCTTTTAATCACTTGATGTGGTGAGGAAAGTAGTGGTTCTAGTGCCACCATGTGGCTCTGTGCTCACTGGCCTCAGCTACAGTCCATCTCGGGGTCTTCCACATCCGTTTCAGCAGCACAGAGGTCATCCAGGGCTGCCTCTGAGCCAAGAGAAGAGAGCTGTATGGTGAAGGGCCGGAGGTGCTGGGCACTGGGGGGGGAGACCCACCGCTCCTCCCCCACGCCCGCAGGAACTGACCAGTCCCTTTCACGCCCAGGCCTTGCTCCCTCAGCTACTGCAAGCAAAGTGATACAAAGGCAATTCAGACAGTGATGTTTCTGGAAAACCCGTGGCTCTGCCAGACCAACTCAACAGATACAAGCAAAAGGCAGCCTGCTAAGCTCAGAGGAGAACCAGAGCAGCAAGACAAGTGTGACCCCAGTGCTGGCAAAGGCTGCATGGAGGGAAAACTGCTGACTTAAGGCCAGGAAGTCTGAATTGCCCATGAACTTCAGGGAAACCCCCATATGTGGGCTGGGGCAGACAGGGGTCCTCCTGCCGGCTTACCTTCACAGTCTGTCACATCAGGAAGCCCTCGAATCAGCATGCTGACCCCTGGCATCACCTGGTCGTACTGATGCAGGACCTCCACGCAGTGCACAGTGAAAAGCTTGTCCTTCTGGGAGAGGCTGTGCAGCAGCAACACCGTGTCCCGCAGACACCGCACTGTTCGCTTTTGCTGCTCAGTCCTCGGGGCCACCCCTGCCCTCCGCACTGTCAGCCACTGTCTGTGCAGCATCACTGTGAGCGCTCTGACCACCTAGGGGGAGGACGACGACTGAGGCCAGGTCTCAGGGTTCCTGCATCCTAACAGCCTGCTCAGCTGGACAGCACCTTTCCTAACCATCCCAGGTGAGGAGGGCTCTGGGTGGCAGCACCAGGGTTACAAGGCGTAGGGGGGAGATCCTTGCATAGGGTCACCTCTCTCGCCCCGAGAGCTGCCACGCTGCTGGCCGGTGTACTCACCTCCACGTTGCACTGGCAGTTAGAGCCAGTGACCAGGGAGGCAGGACTCTGCACACCGAGCTTAGCCAGGAGCCACACGGCCTAGAACAAGAGCAGACTATTCCATCTGTGGCAGACGAGAGCCTGATCACAGTGAGGGCTTTCTCAGGCTTCTCCTACAAGTGCTCCAGGTTCCTGTAGCAGCTGTGGCTCCACACAATGACATCCAAAGGGGGTGGGGGGAGGTAGGGGGGCTTCTCGGGCTAGACTCAGAATCAATACCTGTCTCATCAGCAACCCACTTGCCTCCAGGCCCCAAAGCCAGGGTAGGATCAGTTATTAGGCAGCTCTGCCAAGTTCTGGGACACCCTGGGGTCTACCTGTTTTGTACCTGTGCAGTGTGGAGCCCCCAAACTGAGTTTACCTTCTTAGAAGCTAGGTAAACTCTTGCCCTTAGGTGGGGTAGGGTGGTGAGGGTCTGGAGTTTTTACCTCTTGTTCTAGTTGAAGCCACTGTGTCTCCGAGGCCACTTTATCAGGCCTTGATGTGATGTACATGTACAGCAGCAGGAGGAGGCAACCTTCTGAAAAAGATGCCCCACCTCTCATTCAGGGTCCCCTTCTTACCCAGAGCCCAGGGCACAAGCTGCAGAAGCCCTCAGGAGGCCTCTGACCTGTCCCTGCCACCACCCTTCCTTCCAACCTGCAGGGGCCACCCAGCCGCCCGCCCCCTGCCCTGCTTTACCTGAGCCGGAGCAGAGCTGAGGCGCGAGCTTCTCATGGTCCACCAGGAGGGAAAGGAGCTCAACAGTCAGCAGCACGCTGGGCAGGGGGCTCTCGGGGCTGAGGCACTGTGGCAGTACCCGGAACACACCCTGGAGCCTAAAGCACAGGGGCCCGGAGACACGAGACACTGGTAACCCAATCCCACAACCTACCCTCATTTTCACCAGAGGGAACAGGAAATTTTGAGCAGGCAGGTACAAGGACGAGCCATGTTCGGACCTGGCTTCAAATGCTAGCCAACCACCATGTATTTGCTGGGACATCTGTTTCCTGTGAACGAGGCGGTACGAGCCTTCACTGTGCTATTGCTGTGGCTTAGAGAGGACAGGCCCTTGCCAGGCACAGTGCCACCTGTAAATGGAGGATGCCTCCTTGGGGTGCCTGGCTTCTACACTCTTCCTGGGGTCTTTCTTGCCTCTGTTCTCAAATAGGGAGGGAGGTCTTAACTTGGGTGTGAGAGGGTGTTATGAGCCCACTACCAGGGGGCTGGCCAGGTTCCATAAGTGACAAATGTGGAGTTGGCTATGGTTGGACCTTATGAGACCACTTGCTGGCAGACCGTTTTTGCAAATACCAGATCCCCTGTTACCACATATGAGAAGGTGCTCACTTGGGGTGTACATGGGTGAGGGGCTCTGGGTACACTCTCCCTGAGGTCTCATGGGCAAAGGGAACTAAGGAACCACGTCTCAAGACAACCACTGCTAATTTGCTCGAACTACACAGCCTTGTGGGTGGGGAGAGGGGCAATTCTACATGCGCCCCACTTCATGCATCTGCAGTGTCTTAGCACACACCATCAAGGGCTAAGAGTATTTTTCAGTACACCACTAGGAAGCAAGGCCTCATTATCTGGGGTGAAATCATTTTAGAGCAAATCCTCTACAGTGGATAAGCTGAATGTTTCAGTCCCCAGAGAGCGTGGAATTTTGTAGGAGACTGGGATTTAACCTGGTGGTTACTCAATTTTGTCGTTAGAAGTGGTCTGTAATCCCTAGTCCCTGAAACTCTCTGCAAGAAAAATCCATCTTTACATATGACACAGTGGTTTCTAAATTGTTTTTGGATAGCATCAGAGCCTTAAAAAAAATTTTTTTTCCCAGCGTCCCCAAACACACAATAGAGAATAGTCCTAACTGTTCTGTTTGAAGCTGGGGATGAGACCTCTTTGCTCAAAAGCCTCTGCCTGCCAGTACCCTGGAAATGACCCAGGACCATGGCTATACCAGATACAGTAGGAAGACGGGTCTGAGGGGATGATTTATCCTCAAGCCTGGGTGGGCAAAGGTGCCCTTTATGTGACTGCTGCCTGCCTGGCTACTTGTGTTGCATCGCATACTCGTGTAGAGCCTTGGTGGCATGTGTCCTTAGCTGTCACGCCAAGGTGAGCAGGAAGCTGTGTGGTAGTAGGGTTCATCCTGCAAGATGTAGGAATTCTGAAGCACTGAGTGGGAGATGGTGCCAGACCGCGATCAAGGGCAAGTCAGGGAGGCTGGCTGGAAACTCACCCTGCGCATTCTCTCCATTCATACAATACGGAGTGCTTACAGTGAGCCAGGCTCCATGCTAGGTGTGAGGATGCAGGGCTCTGAGGGTGTCACATGAGCTAGTGAACAGAAGGCATCTGTGTGGCCTATGGTAAGCATCCATTAAATAGCTGTTTTTTCATATCACTGTGGACAAGCTCACCAGGAATGAAATGATAGTGTATCTACCAAGAGAACTGGTAAAAAGTGGTTCCTGGTATTCATTCAACAAATACGAAACAAGCAACCAGCCACTGTGAGGTAGGTCCATGCCAGACACGTTGGGTGATGCTTCTGTACCTGTTGTGTCGCCCACAGTACACTGCAGTACTGTGTCTGGCTCTGAGGACCACCTTTGGGATGGACCATACCAACTGGAGTATCTTCAGAAGGAAACCAGGATCCAGAAGTGTTTTGGGGAAAACAAGTATGCTGAGCTCAAAGACAAAAGCTTAAGGTAAGTGCAGCCAGTGGAGTTGCTCCAAATAGGACTGGCCTCTTGGTGGCGTGCTGAGGGGGGGAGACAGGATTTTTGGCTGAGGAGATGGGCTGGATGGTGGTTAGAGTTCTTCCCAGTCTTGAGGCTCTGGAATCCCAAGTCAAGAATTTACAACAATAGTGCTCATGACCTAGGTTCACTATACAGCCACTTCCAACAAACCTTACAAGGAACAGGTAACCTATGGCTCGTGCCAGAGGTGGGCACAAGAAGGATGGGCACATTTCCAGCAAGGTCAGCTTATGGGCTGCAGACCTACCCCACACCCTCTGCTTCCTTAGGGAACCTCACCAAACTTAAATGTGGTGTGATACATGGTCTTCACCTGATCCATGGCCTAGGTTCAAGGCTCTTGGTTCAGTCTTTGTCTGGCCTGGGAGCAGGACACTTTCCCATAGTGTCTTAAAAGCCTTTCATCACATGTGTCTTGCTTACCTGCTGTACAGAGGCAGAATTCAGCCAAGTAAACCACTTCTTTGGTTCTCCTAATACCTGGCCCCACTTTCTATCACTTCAGAACTCCCTGAACAAGGCCTCAGAATATAAAACCAAGGCTTAGCACTGAGCCGTATAGATCAGATGTGGGCAAAATATAAGGGCAGGATAGACCTCAAGAGGTCAGGTAAGACCCACAAAGCAGCATGACTCCCATGCTGTGTTATACCTGGGCAGGAAATCAAAGGAAGCGTTTTCAGCTAATTTCACCAAAATCTTAAGACACTGGCTCAGGACACTGGCTTGAAGATGACCCGCTGCTGCAGAAGAGAAAGTCAACAGTTGAAGAAGCATCTTCAGTAGCGGATGCTGGCCTTGGTCATTGGTAAGCCCCCTAGGGGCTGAGGACACATCCTCATGATCTTGCCTGTGAATCAGACTCTGGTTTCCTTCCCTAGTGGCAGAATCCACCCCTGCATCTGACAATATTAGGCGGACGACCGCTCCGCTGTGGCACACCAGGTGCTGAAGAACACTAAGTGAAGCCACAGAGAAGCCTTCCAGGTTGCAAAGTGAGTCCTCGAGGCTGGCCTCTCCTCCAGAGCTCACACAGGAGGAACTTGTCGGTGAGTCTGCAGACGCTCCACTTCTCTTGACTGCTGCCAAATCTTGCAGAACCTGGCAGTGTAAGCCGATAAAGAACTGTACCAGGGGAAGGAGATGCACGGCCCCGGGAAGCTGGCAGAGTGGGAAGGCCCTTCTGCCTCCCTCTGCTGGGTCTCCATCACATGAGCCTTCATCCCTGGCAACCAGGTTCAATCCAGTAAGTGCCAGGTTCTGGGCTTCTCTCAGGGCCATGTGGGGAAATGACCCATCTCGACAACCTGTGGTCCTCAGGCTTGGAATCCCAGTCAAGGTACTAGCAGCAAATACAAAAGAAAACACACAAGTGTGAGACAGATACAAGATCAAGGGCCCTAAACAGCCTATCTACCAAAGTCTCTAGTTTCCCCACCCAGCACACAGACCTCCCAGGCTGGCCAGGACCAGAAAGGAACTTGCTTCCTGGGAACTCCTTCCTAAACGAGCGTTTTAGGAGTCTGAGGTTTACCTGCCATACGCCAGTGGCTGCAGTAGGGTGCTGGCAGGAGCCTCAGAACAACTGCTCACAAGGTGGCACAGACCTAGGGATGACCCTGGGATCAAAGGCTGCTTCAGGAGGAGGTTTATCAAAATGGAACCTACAGAAGAAAAGGTGATTCTAGAAGGTTCTGACAAGGGAAGCCTTTTCTGTGGCTTCAGAAGGAAAAGTGAGGATTCCTTGGATGCTAACAGTCCTCTAAGCTGCCACTGAGCCCCACTGGAATGCCTGTAGGTGCTGAGGGCTCTGGGACATACCTGCTCTTGGCCCCTTCTATTTTATAGTCTTCTGCTTAAGTTATAGACTGTTACTCCCCTGGACCCTCTGAAGGACTGCCTGGAGTGCTGGTTCTCAGAGGCAGTTCCACTGTAGCACAGCAGAGGACGCCTGGAGCCGAGTAGGCCTCCTGCACACAGAGCAGGGGCTCTGGTACCTTGAGTGTTTGATCTCTGCATCCAGCTGTCAACCAGACTTTTCTGCGAGTCTTCTTGCTTAATGGGGTCACCTCCAAGATTGTGGCTCTTATTCTCTACAACTAAATAAAATGTGAATCAAACTTGAGCACAAAAGCACAGGTATATCGAAACTCTTAAACGTACCAAGTTTTACTTTTTTTTTTTTTCCAAGTAAACTCTACCCCCAGTATGGGGCTCGAATGCACGACTCCAAGATCAAGAGTCACATGCTCTATGGACTGGGCCAGCCAGGCTCCCCATAATGAGTTTACAACAGAGATTGTTCTACTTCTTCAACCTTGGATCAAAACAAGAACCAGAGCAACTCAAGAACCTTGCATCGTTGCCTTCCTCATGAAAAACAGTAACTCATACAAGGAAAGGAAAGCAAAAGAAAGTTGTTTGCCCCACTTTAAAATGATGCAATAACATAAAAGCAGTAACCACAAACACTTATTATGTGCCAGACAGACCCTGTTCTAAGAGCTTCACCAAGATTAGCTCATTTGTTCTTCAAAGCAACCCTAAGAGGAGGTGTTATCATTAGCTCTATTTTACATATAGGGAAACTGAGGCACAGGGGTTAAGGGACTTGCTCCAATCCCACGAGCCAGTAAGTAGTGTCACCAGGACTCCCGCCAGGCTAGTGGGCTCCAGTGCCTGCTCATGACACTATTCTATACTGTTTCTGTAGCTGCCAGATGCCAAAACTGTGAGTGGTTGAGGTTCTCAGAGTGGCATGAGGGCCAACAACTTGAAAGTGTTGATGGTGGTAGGGGTGACGTACTGGAATGATAAGATAAACTGACACAGCACATTCTCAGAGTAAAAACCTACCAGTGCTACACTGTGTCCCTCTATAAAGCAGTAGCATGCCCTCAGTCTGGACTGAGCTGTATAAACTCAAGACTGCAAGGAACACAGGTACCTGATACTAGCTGTGTTTCTGGTACATCAATGGATGGTCACTGGGGAGGTATTAAAATATGCCTGCAAATTCTACACATACTTCTCTTCAAAAAGTACAGCCTAGTTTCCTTCTCCTTGAACATGGCTTCTAACAAATGGAATGTGGCAAAAGTGATGCTATGGGACTTCTGAGGCTAGGCCATAAAAGGGATGGCTTCCACCTAGCTCTCTCTGGTTAGCTCTAGGGGAGGCCACCCACCAGTTATGAGGTCACCCAAGTAGCTCTGGAGAGAGACCCATATGTGGAGAAGAACTCTGTTGCCAGTCATGTGAGCGAGCCACTTTGAGTAGATCCTCCAGCCCTAGACAAGCCTTCAGTGATTCCTGTCCCCACAGAGACAAACCATCTCCTCTTTGCTCTGTCAGAACCATTGTCCCACAGAACCAGGAGAAGTACTTATTGTTATTTTAAGCTACAAGGTTGAATAATCGGTTACATAGCAACAGATGACAGACAGACTGACTTACCGTCTTTGCCCACCAGGGACTTGATTCCTGGTTCTGTCTGGAAGGGGTGGGGAAGGGACATGTTAGCACTAAAAGACTCCTTTGTAGGGAAAGATGGTTTTCCAAATTGTGGAGAACATGCTTCTGGCTTTATAGCCACAGAAGGACTTTTCCTAGGACTGGAAAAAGTTAAGTATGAAAGCCAAGTAATGATTCTGCTAAAACCACTTAAAATACTTGGTTATAAAACTTCTAACAAATGTTCACTTTTCATGTTTAAATGTTAAACCTGTTCTGGCCCATAGCCAACAGTCTAGATGTTTTGACCAAAGGTTTTATCTATTATATATTAGTCATTCTTTGTCAGGATTGCAGTGCAAAATTCAAGGCATTTGATCCAAATGGTTGAAAAACTCCTTCTTCTAATCACCCAAAACATTGGCCATAATTCCATTACAACTTCCAATTCCACCGAATTCTGTTTAATGTGGAACAACCTCTTATTTAATAGTTCCCAGGGGCTGAATTCAAAGATTTTTGGTAGAAAGAGGGTCTATTAAAAGGCATGTTGTGTCTTGCAACTTGAAAACAGCCAGTTCCTCAGTACCAGGTTTTTGTGTTAGGGAAGCAGTCTTAACCCCCTGAGTGCATCAGGCAATGCCAAGAGCTGTCTGTCAGAGATGTGTGATGAGGTGTGGATGGACCCCTCTGCTTTCCTGTCTTATGTGGACTAGGCTAGGCAAGAAGAGTTTAATTTCACGCCCTGCCCATTATGAGCAAAGGAAGCAGAATGTTCAATATTCAGAAGAAGACACCCTGACCTATACTGTTCAAATTTCAAGGCTGCTGTCAACGGTGTGCCAGACTTCTCTGGCAGGCAGGAGGCAGGACAAAACCATTAATAAGCTGATCACATCTGCAGCAAAGGCAAGGGCTATTAGACAAAGGTCCCAAGGCAGCAAATGAGAAAAAATATACCAAGTAGTTGGGACTGAAATACGCTTATACTTGGGACAAAATTGATTATTTGAAACAAATTACATAAAAATGAAGACTGGGTCACCCCAAAAGTTCAGAGAGCATCTTTACAGCCCTGTTTTAGTCCTGAGTATAAAGTCCTTTAGAGAGGAAGCTCTTCTAGAGTGTGAGGCCTTTATGCTGTGATGTGCCAAACCATTCAAGTCTCATCTAAACCACCTTCAAGGCCTTCAGGAAAGAGGATCTATGTCCAGATGGCAAAGTTTAAATGGGCTTAACTCAAGACTAGCCTGACATTACTCGGACTTTCTAATAAACCATGCAAAACAACTCTCCCTCCAGCACCATCATTACCTGGCATGGAGAATAGAGGGAGCAGCCAATTTATTTGCTCGTTCACTGCTTTGAAGCTTTGTCCTTAATTCATTCATCTCTGCATCTTTAAATTGGAGTTCAGACTGCAATGACTGGAGCTGGAAGGCAAAAGCAACATACTTCCTGACCCATCATACGTGCAAATATATCTCTGGGCCTCAAAGCCTCAAGCTCATAAAGGAAAACAAAACAATGAGAAATAAGTATGAAAGTCTGCTGTGACATAGACACCCTATAATATCAAGCTTTCCCCTTCTTCCTCAAAGACAGCATGGTATTCTCGAAAGACATTTTGACCCGAACTATTGCAAGGTAGTTTGGTGAAGGTTCAAATACCATTTACTCAGCCTCTCTAAACTCTGGCTTATCTGTAACACAAACCCCTGTCTTCGTGGTGGTGGTGGGGGGGATTAAATAGGAAGGATGAATGTGAAAAACCCAGCCTAGAGCTTGGTAAGGTGCCTTATTGCACAGGAACAGGTTGGCCTTTTGATGGATATAGTGGTGCACAATTCCAGGTCTTCTTGACCAAAACCCCACGCATCATGGGAGACCTGCTCCGCCCATGGCCAGCAGTAACTGCTGTTGTCCCCTGAGCATGCTCCGTGCCGGGTATAGCACCAGTCGCAGCACCTGGCACAATATGTGTGGGGCTGTTTAAATCTTACAGCAGCCCTTCTAGTTATTTCCTGGGACAAATAATGGAAATGAATCACAGAGCTGAAGTCATTACCCTGAGGGCTCCACTCATATGTGATAAAGCCCGGATTCAAACTCTAGTTTGTCTGATTACAACTCCCTTGCTCTTCATCATGTATGCAGAAGGACAACTACCACATAGTGTTGGGCACAGGTTAGTGCTTCTTTAAAGTTTGCTAATTTGCTGAATGAATGGCAGAATAAGACCCATTCCTTGAGACTGAAGCCTTGGGAAGTGCTGAAGGAAAGTGGCGGTATGTATGAGTATCTACTAATCTCTTTCCACAACAGCAACTCCCTCCCCTGAGAAACAATCATTTCCCTACCTCTATGTGATTTCAATGTGAGCTGTCATCTCTGTGGTTACAGTGAATGGGCCAGGGATAGGCACCTGTCCCAGGTTAGACCAATCATAGCCTTGAGATGAAGGAGCTCAAATTTTCAGTCTGCTCTGAAGCTAAGAAATATGAACCCAGGTGCTTCTGGAGAACACATCCTTTACTATAGGATGGAGTCTGTCTATAGACTAGGGAGTAAAGATGAATCCTGGCAAGGCCCAAGTCATTCAAGGCCCCAGCACACCTGTTTTTTCCCAGACTTAGTTATGGAAATTAATACATTTCCTTTTGGCCTAAGCTAGGTCAACTGAGTTTCTGATCTGCCAAAAAGTTCTTACTTAAGTCTGTTTCTGGAAAGTCTAAGCTGTTGATTTATTCCTGCCAAGACCAACTGCCACAACTACCACAGCAAAGCAGTTTCAACTTAGTCGTTTTACAAACCACATGCAGAGCCTGGAAAAAAAGCATATGCAATTAACTGAAAGCAGAAATTATTTAAGACAAAAAAAAAAACAACTGTTGAAATATTCCTGGAAGATTTACAGTCTTTTTGGTCATTATTGCTTCTAAAAGAACTCAGTGAGCAAGCAAAGCTTGTGTCCAAAACAAGAAGGAAAAAAAAAAAAAAAGGAAAAGGGAAAAGCAAACCAGCTCTGGGTCACCTTTTTGGAAAATTCTTTTTCTTTGTCACTGAGCGCTTGAGTTTTCTCTTGCTCAAGGAGGAAATGTGATCTTCTCTGTTCCTCTAGAATGGATTCTGTCTGATGCAGTGAGTCCCGCAAAATTTTTATTTCTCCATTTTTAATGAGAACTTCTTCTTCCATTGTTTTCATCTGTAAATCCCAAATAAATCTTGTGAAAAGCTCGTAAGGCAAACTTATATATGTACTTGTTTCAAAATATAGCTGGGGAGATGGAGAAAGCATATGTAAAACCATGTTCTACAGACCAATGAGTCATCAAAATATATCCATACCAACTAGTTACCACCATGGTCAGTGAGGCCCGCTCATGGGACAGGTGACCTTCAGAAAGCTTAAGGAGACACTGTCATTCACACATGCAGATTTTGTAGGTTCTAGTAGGTATTAAACAATCTGGGTCACATACTTCACAGATCGCAAGTTTCATACTATGTTTCTAGTTTTCCCTACAGATGGTCACATAAAGGATGTTTGCTTTTTTGTAAAACTGCTAATGAATACAGTAGCCATTATGATGTTGTGTTCCTTATATAAGACATATGCTATAAATTTATCTCAGTGCTATGTCAGAAAGTTTGTATCTCTTTTTGAATCTGATGTAGTTTCCTTTATTGCCTAATTGTTAGGAACTAGGATTTGGTTTCTTTTCAGTTAAAATTTTCTGGCTTTATTTCCCCAGCCTTCTCTCATTTCATGGTGACAAATCTGGACTCTTGTTTTTTATTATTTTATTTTAGAGTTTATTTGAGAAAGAGAGAGCAAGCGGGGGAGGGGCAGAAGGGGAGGGAGAGAGAGCATCCCAAGCAGGCTCCTCACTGTTCATGCACAGAGCCAATGTGGGGCTCAAACCCATGAACCATGAGATCATGACCTAAGCTGAAAACAAGAGTCAGTCGCTTAACTGACTTGAGCCACCTAGGTGCCCCTGGACTCTTGTTTTAAAACTTTTATATATTTCAGGGGTACCTGGGTGGTTTAGTTCATTAAGCATCCGACTTCAGCTCAGGTCATGATCTCACAGTTTGTGGGTTCAAGCCCCACATCAGGCTCTGTGCACAGCTCAGAGCCTGGAGCCTGCTTCAGATTCTGTGTCTCCCTTTCTCTCTGCCCCTTCCCTGCTCTCTTTCTTTCTCAATAATAGATAAACATTAAAAAAAATAAAAACTTCTATATATTTTTTTCTACAATGCTTTGTAACATATGCATAAGTACATAAATTAGCTATAAAAACCACAAGTCACTTACCTTTTCTTTAAGTTCTTTGTATTGTGCCTGAAGTACCTCTAATTCAAAATTATCTTTAACTGGAACATATTCTCTGTTTTTCCCTGCAGGAGTTTTTGACATCCCATCTAATCTGGGGACCTTATGAACATCTGTAAAAAACAGTTCCCATATACTTTTCAGGATCCAACTTTTGCCAGTCAATGCTGAAAAGAATCACTCTTGAAAGCAAATTAGAGAAAGATCTAGTAAGCAATATAGGTATTTTCCAACCTAAGAACAGATTCAAACTCATAAACGATCCTTATGAAATAACGGATCCTGCCACTCCCCACCCCTCAATTTTAAGAATGTCATCTAAAGGCTGAAAAGGTGCTGCAGGGACCTCACTGGTCAGAACTTGGTGATCTGTTATTCAACATTATTTACTGAGCACCTATACCTATACCTAGTGAGCACCAGGCACAATCTAGTCTCTAAAGGTATGATGGTGAGCAAAATGGATACAGCCCTTACACTCATGGAGCTTACAGAACATTCAAAAATGATCGCACAAATAACTAAAATTACAACTGTGATAAGAGCTACACAAGAGAACAAGTATAGGAAAGCCAAGTATATGGATCCAACTGGAATGATTGGAAGGCTTCCCAAGGAAGTGATGACCAAGGCGAGAGCTGAAGAACAAGCAGGAATTAAGCAGATGAGTGGGGATGGGGAATGGATGGGAAGAATACTCAGTGTACAAGAAACAGCAATGTGCAATTTTTGTAAAGATGCCAGGAGAACTCAAGAAATGAAGGCAGATCACTGTGGCTCGAACCCAGAAAGAGTGGGAAAGGGCCAGACCATGCGGGGCCTTGTAGGACATGATATGGACTTTGATCTTTATACTGGAGGCAGTGGGAAGTTATGAAAAGGCTTTCTTTCAGTAGGGATGTTCACTTGTATTTGTGTGAGACAAAGCCAGATTTGAGTTCTGAAAAGATCACTCTGGCTGTGGTGTAAAGTCTGACTTATAGGGAGTCAAGGCTAGAAACAAGGAGACCATTTAGCAGATTATCTCCAGAGGAAGGGATGATTGTTACATAGATCAGGGAGAATGGTAGAGATAATGGAAAGAGGCTAGGTTCCAGAGATGGATTAAGAAGATAAAGTTACAGGACTTGGAAAGGAATTAGATGTATGGTCAAGGAAGGGGAACTGTCATCTTGTGCCACCCGATGGAGAAGTGGTACTAGTCATGGTTGTACAGAATATTTGGTCATTAACGAATGTTTTCTGAATGTCTGCTTTGCCAGACAGATGCAAGTTGCCCTCAAAACATTAATCCTTCTGTGAGTCCCACAAGACTTTACTCATTCACCAGCTAGAAAGTAAGCTCCTGAAGAAAGGAGTTTTTGTCTTTTGTTCATTGCTAAGTGTGCTGCAGTTCCTAAGATTTTGGACACCTACTACGATTTACTGGCTGTATAAAGGAATAAACCTCTTTCATCTCTTGCCTCAATTAGGCCCTCTTATGTTCATGTGGTCCAAGGAGGACAGTAATCTGTTAGATCTAAAGCCTCTCAAACGTGTCACAAGAATGGTCCCCATGCGTAGGTAGTGATGGTTCTGATGATGGTGGTAGTCGTGTTCCAAGGACCTTTGCCTAGAACCAAAAACTTCGTGGCCCAAACTTTAACTACAGGAAAATATTAACTGAGCTTTCTGAATTTCCAATCAGCTATTTGACATTCTTGATAACAGTTCTCCCCTACTCAAAGGACCTTCTGGGACACAACTGCTGCCTAAATGAAGCCGTTCCTATATTTTGAGAAGGGCAGTGTGGGTGCAAGACACCGGGGCAGCGGTCGCCGTGGGGTTCCGAAGCCACAGCCATCACGTAGGTCTGGCGAGGTCTGCACCACCCTCCGGGGAAAAGGCCCCGAGGCGCACTCACTGGACACGTCCCGGGGAGCGGCCGGGCACTGGCTGAGGGCCTGCGACGCGAGGATGTCGAGCTCCTCCAGGTCGTCGGCGGTGAAATCCCCGTGCGCGCCGAACGGGTCTTCGGGGTCCGGGGCGGCGGCCACGGGGAAGCCCCGGGCTCGCTTGCTCGGAGGGTGCCCGATACTGGGCAGTGGGCCAGAGCTAGGCGCCGGGAGCCCGGTCCGCCTCCTGCTGCCCGGCGCGGGGGTTCCAGCCATGCCTCTGCTGGTCAGTCTCCCAGGGCACCGAGGAAGGCCTGCTCGACTCGAGGCCAGAAGGCTGGACCAACCGCCCGCGCGCCGCCGCTTGCCTCAGCCGCTCGGGCCACGCCCCTGGGCCCACGGGCCAATCAGCTGCCAGCTGGCCGGCGCAGAAGAATGATCTAATCTGAACGCGTCGCAGTGCTCTGCTGAGTGCCCGCCTTCCTCGGTGTCGCCCCGCCCTCCCAGCCCAGTTCTGCCCGTCGCTTAAATGCCGCCGGCTGGATGTCCGTGGCGGGTTCTGTGCACTGCTGTCCCCATTATTAGGGAATGGGCCCGAGGCTCACCAGCCTCACAGCGCGGGTGCCTCTGCACCCCCTCCCTGACATCCCGTATACAGTCGCGCTGGAGTTCGCCCTGTCATTCACACGTACACCTGTGAATCGAGACCCGCAGCATTCAAGGTTTTGCTCTCTGAGACTTCGCCGTTTTCCTCACACTGGACTCACCTCCCACATACCAGAGCCTCTCTCGAGGAGGAAGGAGTGGGAGAGCGGGGTTGGGTGAGGAGTATGAATACAGCTTTTGTGAGCAGACATCTTAGAGAATAGGAAATGTTTTGAATGTGTGCATTTGAGGTAGGTCTGGGGAAGAAAGGTGTAAGGAAAAGGGGTGATCCTGAGAACGATGTGCCTGTGTTGGAGAATGTGGGAACTGTCAGGCTGTTAACATTCATTTCTCTGGGAGTGGCTGGTTGTTTTTGTCCCAAGGACATGTCACAAATGAATGAGGCTCAGGAGGTCAAGAAAGGCCCCTTGAAAGTGGTACCTGGGTTGTCCTCCAGGTTGGGCAGGAGTTACGGAGTTAGCAAGGAGGCTGGCGTACAAGACTACTCAGACAAGAGTGCAACACCGACATGGAGGCCACACAAATGCCAGATAGGAGTTGTGGCAAAGAGAGAAGGTAAGGCTTCAAAAAGGAGCAGGACTCGGACCGGATTTTATTGGGCAGTCGTGGTGTGCTGGGCAGTTAGCAGGAACAGGGTGTTCCTTGCACATGCAGTGCCAAACTTAGCTTGTAAGTGTCCTATGAATGTTTATGAAAACTGGAAATGAAAGGGATTTAGTTGTCAGGATTTGGAAGGTCTTGAATACCTGAATTTAGTTTTTGAGACAACTAGTAGGTTGCTTCAGATAGCTGCCCAAATGTTGAACGCTTAATTCTTCATTGCTGCAGGTCTCTGGTCTTGTAAAGAGATAGGATTGTACTTCATTTGTCAGGAAGGATTAGGTTCCACCAAATAACAGTAGTAGCTGTCAGGGGCTGTGTGCTGGGACTGGCTTAAAAGGGTTGTTCTCAGCCCCACAGGGAATGCTTGAAGTCCAAAGGCGTGTGGGCTGTGCAACTTTCCAGGAGAGGGCCAAAGAAGACCCTTTATTCCCTCCTGTTAAATCAAGTACCTTAGAGTCATAACAGGCCTAAATCTATAAAAAAAAACCTTGTCCAGGGGCGTCTGGGTGGTTCAGTCGGTTAAGCAGCTGACTTCAGCTCAGGTCATGATCTCACGGTTCATGGGTTTGAGCCCCGTGTCGGGCTCTGTGCTGACAGCTCAGAGCCTGGAGCCTGTTTCAGATTCTCTATCTCCCTCTCTCTGACTCTCCCCTGCTCACGCTGTCTCTCCCTCTCTCTCTCAGAAATAAATAGAAAATATTTTTTAAAAATTAAAAAAAAATAAACTTTTTCCAGTTTTGACTTAGCAAAATCTGACTAGTTCCAGAGCCCTTTTTGAAAACAGAGAAAGCTTAGCATTACTAGCATAATTTCCAGTAGAATCAAGGGCCTAAAGGGGAAATCCAGAGACTCGTGCCTCTGAATTGTTCATATATAGAGAGGAATGCAACATATATATACATTTAGTATACTATATATACACATATATACACACACACACATATTGAAATGCAACATATATATACATTTAGTATACATTATGGCCTCTTGTCTCCTTCAGTTTACTCCTCCTGGAGTCAAGAGTGATAGATAATCAACAAATATTAGGAGGAAAAAATCAAACAGGGTAATAGACAGTTGGGACTACTACTTCATATAGAGTGGTAAGGGACGAGCTCACTACTTTCAGTCCTTTATTTTATTTTTTTTAATGTTTTATTTATTTATAGGAGAGAGAGAGAGAGAGAGAGAGAGACAGCGTGAGCAGGGGAGGGTCAGAGTGAGAGGGAGTCACAGACTGAAACAGGCTCCAGGCTCTGAGCTGGCAGTAAGCACAGAGCCCGACGCGGGGCACGAACCCATGAACCGCAAGATCATGACCTGAGCGAAAGTCGGACGCTCAACCGACTAAGCCACCCGGGCGCCCCTACTTTCAGTCCTTTAAAGGAAGGGAGGTAGTCTCCAGTATACAAATGAGTGACAAGCAGACACCAAGAGTTGGTGAAAATGGTGAGGCAGCTTGCTTGCAATATAGACCATTGTGGTGCGAGATGGATCAGAGGATGAATGGTGAATATAGGACAGGGAGTGGCATCCAGATCCCTTAAAGACTGGTCATTGTAGGGACTCTAGTTTTTGCCCTAAGAAGCCAATGAAGAATTCTGAGCCGAGAAGAGACAAAAGTAGGATTTTATTTTATTTTTTACTATTTTAATGTTTATTTTTGAGAGAGTGTGTGAGTGGGGGAGGGACATAGAGAGAGGGAGACACAGAATCTGAAGCAGGCTCCAGGCTCTGAGCTGTTAGCACAGAGCCCGATGTGGGGCTTGAGCTCACAAACCGTGAGGTCCTGACCTGAGCCAAAGTCAGATGCTTAATCAACTGAGCCACTGAGGTGTCCCAGGACTTTACAGTTTAATAAGAACATTCTGTTCTGAGTGAAGGTTAAACTGTAGGGGAGCAAAGGTAGGGGCAGGAAGACAAATTTGGATATGATTGCAGTAATCCAGGTGAGGGATTTTAGGTCAGAATGGGGGAGTGATACTGGAGGAAGTATATAGGGGCCAGATTTAATTTTGCTGATGGGTTGAATGTGGGATATAAGACATGAAAACCTAGCTAAGACCTTTGTGAAGCCCTAGTGTAAATGCAGATTTGGGGGTTTCAGAATAAGCTTGGTTCTTAGAAACTTTAAGGAAACTCTCTCCCATTTTATTCCCTTTATAATGTACATTGTATGTAATAATGTTGCCCTCTTCCACAACAGAGAAATTCCTTGACAACAGGAATCACTCTTTGGTATATGTGCAGCATGCACTCAGTGGACTCCTCACACGAAAGATGAATAGTCCCATTACAACAAATGGCAATGTGGAGGTCATAACAGAGAAAGACGTTTTTTTCCCTAGGGTACAAATTCTTCCATTAGCCTCATGTATTGTGTTCCATCCGGTATACAACTATACAAAAACAACCACTTCAAATGAGTTGGTTTAATTCCCAGTGGAACAGAGTTCAGGACAGAACAAAGACTGAAGAGCACACACTGGTAGGATTTTGGGCTAGGTTTACTCTGACCTCACAACAAAGGCAGAAATCACTGAATGATAAGAGAACGTGAGCTACTTACGATTGACTGATTTTATTATTTCTTTTTTACAAAAGTTTATTCTTAAATGTACAACAGGATCTAAGACAACACTTCATTCTAGCTATAGGTGGCAACAGATGCTGTGGCAGGGAATCCAGATGTTTAAACAGGAATAGAATTAAAGATCACCATTGACTCGGGCACAAGGGACGGCTTACTTTTTGCCAGATTTCTTAATTCCACCTGTGGCTGCAAAAGGAAAAAAAAATGTCTCAGCTAAGGAAAAATATAGTCCTTATGACAAAAGTGCCAGGAGCCTTATATAGATCACAGAAAGGCTCAACTTTTGTGCTGGGCATTCTTTTTGCCACAAGCATGTAGAGGACTTTCCCAATAGTTTATTCTAGGGTGATGTTTGAATGAAGATGAGGCAGGGGCACAAAAAATGGCTGTGCCCTGGCCTGGATCTATACTGTTAAGTATTTCACACACTAGCTTATTTAATCCTCATCCCCCATCAACTCATTTCACAGATAATGATATCTTAGTGGTAAGTGCTGTACAAAGTTATAAACTTGTAATGTGACAAAGCCAAGATTCCACCCTGGGTAGTCTAACATCCAAGTCCACATTCTCAACTGCCACATCACAGTACACTACTATACTAAGATCCCGTTCACTATCTTTATTTTACTCAATTTACATTTGACTATATATTTGGTACACAGTAAATAGTTTAAAAAATAGCTGATTGACCTTCCCGTACACAATCACAGATTAAAGGAAGGTACAAAACACTTTACAGTCCAAAAGGGAATCTCAATAACTAGAATCTCAGCACTGTGCATCAAATAAACCCACTGGGACAGAAGTCTTAGAAAGCCCTGGATGACACTCCCATCATCCCAACTTCTACCATCCCCAGTGTAGCTCACATAGCACACAAATAACTATAGAAGAAATTGTTCACGAGTGTGATGAATGTAAACAGCATTTAAGAAGCACAGAAAAGTTCAGGCTGTCGGGCTTGAGAAATATTTTGATATATAATCGATTCTTCCTACATTAAAAAAAAGCAGAGTGGTGGGAGATTAGGTTAAAAGAGCATATAGCACAATAGCACATGAAGGAGCCTAGACTTTGATCTTTTCGTCTAGGCGCATTCAGAAGTCAAGACTCAGTGTGCAAAAGTATTTACTAGAAATAACAATATGAGGGTTAAGTCAAGAAATGTCCCAAGCAAAAAGCAGCAGTGAAATACGAATTTGGGGCAAGAAATAGTGAAGACTATTTGGAAACTCAACTCTATGAATTTGTGTCTAAGATGTATGAATGTCTGTGTTTCCATATCTGCTGTTTCCCTAAAGAAAGGAAGACCAGACTGCCTGGCAGAAAAGAAATCTCGTTTCCAGAGGCGGTCTGGCTCCCGCCCCTTACCGATGCTGCGGATACAAGCGGGGTAAGGGTCGTTCGTCCTAACTGACAAGTGGAACTGAGACCTCACCAATGAGACAGAAAATAGACCAGACTGATGCTCAAAACGTTTGCCCCGGCTTGAGCTATATTTGGCCCTCACTTACCCAGGGGGCCTTTCCCCGCGGCCTTCGCTTTTAGCTCCTCGAGTTTCTTCTGCTCCTCTTTCTGTTTCTGCTTGAATGCCTTATCTTCCTAAGGAGAGGCAGACGGGTTTCAAATCGAAGCAGATTTCCCAGTCCCTCCGCACCCGCCCACGCCTCCGCGCTCGCCCTCACCTCGTCCATCTCCTTGGCCTGCTTCTTGGGTTGCTTCAGGGGCTTCTTCTTGCCACCTGTGGGCAACACAAGTAAGCTCAGTTCAGTTCCCGCCGAGTCCTGTCCCTCTCCACCCTACCGCCGCAGCACACTCACCTTCGCGGCCAGACATGGCGCCTGCCGCCCCTTCCCCAGACCCTGCCGCCGGAAGCGGAGCTCCCCTATCCACCCGCTGTGCCTCTACCTCCGCACGGGCCCGCTGATTGGCTCCTGGTCCGGAAGCGGTGTTCCCGTTGCCGGAAGCAACTCTGGGGGCGGGCCTAAAGGATCAGAGGTCTACTGAGTGGCGGGCGCTTCTCTGGGGTTGCAGCTCTCGTGGTGGGGCGCCAGGTACGAGGGCCTGTCTTGCGGGGGGAGAGTCCGGAAGCCAGGAGGGGTGCTTAACCGGAAGGCGCTGGGTCTGGGACCGTGCAGGGGGGAAAGTACTGCGGTTAGGGGGAAGAGGCCTTTGAAGTTCAGCGCATTCTTAGAACCGAAGAAAGCAAGCATAGCTACGGGGAGATTCGAGGGAGGTGCCAGATACATGGGCGGGGGCTATATCACCAGGTCCTAAAGCTTTGGAGGCCAACGGAAGGAGTCTGGGTTTCAATATCGCCAGAGCGCAACTATTTGCAAATTCTGTTTATTCATTCAGTACATTTTTGTTGAGTGTGTGTCATATGTAGACAGTTTTATGGGCACTGAGGATGCAGCAGTGAACAAAACTCATCTCATATCCAATCCGTCAGCAAATGGATGCCAACCCTGGCAGAGGTGACATTCTAGGGGGTGAGACAGCCTGTAAGCAAAGTGAGTAAGTGCAATACATATCGCAGGTCACGTGATACCTACACGAGAAAAAGCAGACAACGTGGGTAGAGAGTGCTGGGATGGGAGTGCATGGCAATGACATATGAGCAGGACTTGGAAAAGAGAAGGGAGCAAGCAGTGCAGATAGCGAGCAGCTGGTGTGAAGGCCTTCCTACGGGGATAGTGTAGTGTGTTCCAGCAACATCAAGAAAGTCCATGCAGGGGTGCCTGGGTAGCACTATCCGTTAAGCATCTGACTTCAGCTCAGGTAATGATATCACGGTCTGTGGGTTCCGGCCCCTGTCGGGCTCTGTGCTGACAGTTCAGAGCCTGGAGCCTGGTTTGGATTCTGTGTCTCCCCCTCTCTCTGTCCCTCCCCTGCTTGCTGGCTTGCCCCCCCCAAAAAATAAATAAATATTAGAAAAAAGTCCATGCATGGTAATAACCTCAATGATGTATTAGCTAACCTTATTGTGGTTTAACAATATATACGTATATATACGTCTATTAAGTGTATCAGATCATCTCGTATATCTTAAACGTACACAGCGATGTATATATGTCAAAAAAGCTGGGAGAAAAAAGGTCCATATGATTGGAGTAGAGTGAGGAAAGGTATACTAGTGGGAGATGAGGTCAGAGAAAACTAAGAGCCAGGAGGTGGATGCCCTGTAGACCATGGGAAAATTGTGGTTTTTACATTGAGAGAAATGGGGAACCACTGGAAAGTTTGAGCAGAGAGAGACATGGTCTGGCCTGTGTTTTGAGAAAACTTCTGGCTGCTCTGTTGACCGTAGATTGTACGGGCTAGAGTAGAAGCAGGGAGACCTGTCAGAAGGTTATTAGGATAAAAGATGTTAGTCACTGGGACCAGAGGAGGAGGGATTTTGTTTTTAGAAAGGAAGTAACATTTGCTGATGGATCGGATATGAGATGGGAGAGAAAGCAAGGAGTCAGGGATGATTTGAGGTTTTTGTTCTGATTTGGACTTGGAAGTTTCTGTCAACCAAGATGGAGAAGGCTGTGGAAAAAGCAAGTTGGGAAGGGAAGATGAGATCCCTATTAACCTTCCAAGCTGAGTTGTAGATTGGGTGGTTCAGTAAATGAGCGTGAGAATCTACAGGAGAGGTCTGGGCTGTAAAAGTCAGAGTATAGTTGGTTGTTGTTGTTGTTTTAAGTTTTTTTTTTTGATAGAGAAAGAGAGTGAGGCAGAGCGGCTGGTGGGGGGGGGGGGGGGGCGGTGTGTGGAGAATCCCAAGCAGGCTCCATATGGTCAACACAGAGCCTGACCTGGGGCTCAAACTCATCAACTGTGAGATCATGACCTGAGCTGAAACCAAGAGGTGGTCACTTAACCAACTGAGCCACCCAGGTACCCCTAGTTGATTGGTTTTTTAAGTAATGGTTTTGGGGAAAAGCAACGGTGGGGTGGGGAGGGCACCTGGCTGGATTGGTCAGTATAGCATGCGATTCTTGAGTTTGAGACCCAAGTTGGATGTAGAGATTACTTTTTTAAAAAATGGTTTTATTGAGATACCATTAATATACAATACAATTCACCTATTTAATGTGTACAATTCAGTGGTTTTAGTATTCTCACAGTGTTGTTCAAGCATCATTATAGTTAGTATTTTTAGCATTTCCCTAGATGGTTGTTTTTTTTTAAAGGCACGGGACTGGATGAGAGGAGCCTGAGGCCCTTGCGTTGCAGCCCTCCATGTGGGTAGGTTCGGGAGATGAGTGGGGACTGGAAGCCAAGTGTAGAAGACGTTTCAAGGAAAGGAAGCTAGCACAAGGCACAGGTTGCTGATAGGGCAAGTAAAATGAGGACTGAGAACTGATCACTGGATTTAGCAATGTGGAAGTGACCTGGACAAGAGCATTTCCGGTGGCATGGTGGAAGTGAAGGCCAGATTAGAGAGGGTGTAAGAGAGAATGAGAGAAGAGGTACTGGAGACCATGAGTGCAAACGATTTCTCTGAGGGACAGAGAGGTGGGGCTGTTGCTGGAGATGGTGTCTGATCAATTACTGAGTAGTGTCAGGTAGGGAGAGCACATGGGACCTGAGCCAGAGCTTGGTCTTCCTAGAGCATGAATTCTTCATCCCAAGGAGTAAGAGAGAAGGTGGAAACCGTTCAGACACTGGCAGGTAGGAAGGTATGGTGGGAGTTTGTAGAAGTTGTCTTACAATTTTTAAATATTTTCTTAGTGAAAAATGAGGCAAGCCATCAACTGCAAGTGAGGAAGAGGTATAGGTGATTGAGGTTTATGGAATGGGCAGTTGGTAGGACACAGTCATCTAAATAGAGTGTTAGAATGGATTTGGAGGGCCAAGATTCTGAACTTGGCCCTCAGCCTCTCCTCTGTCCACTCTCCCTTCCTCTGCTATTTTCCAGGTGCACTGGCCACCTTTCAGGTTTTAGGTGACCCCAAGTGCATTTCCACTTTTTCTCTCCTTCAGGAATGCCTTCCCTGTGCTGGCTGAGGGTTTGTGAGACATTTGAACGGGGAGGGGCTGAGAATCAGGCTGGAGTGGGGGTTGGATGTCGGAGAAGAGGGACTGGAATAGAGGAACAACTTGAGTCATTTCATCATACACCAATATCCCTTCTGTCACCAAGCTTATGTTCTAGTGAGGGGCCTGGCAACATGTAAAGAAGGCAATATGTGTCTGATGGAGAAAAACAAAGCAGGTGGCCCAGGAGGGAATGGTCAAGGAAGGTCTTGCCATGAGGTGGTATCCGAGCCAAGATGTAGAAGTCAGGGTGAGCTGACTGGATCTGCGGAGGAAGACCAGTCCAGGCGGAGGAAGTAGCAAGGTCAGGCTAGGGTACATGGAGTGGAGGACAGAGAGGAGGAAGGGATGACAGCTAAGAGGACCGTGGCTTGTTGGCCACTGGTGGAACTGGTGTTCATGGCAGGTGAGATGGGAGCTGTTGGGGGTTTTGAACCAAGAGATGTGTAATGAGTTAACAGAGCCTCAAGTTGCCTCGTGAAGAACAGCTCTGAGTGGCAGGGAGGAAACCGGGACTGTGCAGGAGGCTGTAGCTGTCATCACTGCCAGGGATGGGTGACCTTCCTGGGGTTCAAGAGTGGGTGGCTGGTAGAGGAGAAGCCAGGAGAGGAGGCCAGGAAGGTTGGAAGAAGCCGAGAGAGGGTAGTGATTTCAAAAAGACAAGGGTGTTGAAAGCTCAGAGATGTTGTAGAAGAAATCTGAGAAGCACCTGGTGAATCTGGCAAGGTGGAAATTTTTGCAGGGGCTCCAGGAGAGCAGCCTCTTGTTGGAATGCCATCAAGAGAGCATGGGGGCTGAGGAAGCAGTGACAGAGAGGTGGACACCTCTCCGGTGAGCGTGGCTGAAAAGGAGAGTGAGTGCTGTGGTTGGCAGCGCTGGGAGTCTGCTTTGCTCTGATGCAGGAAACACCTGCAGGATCGTCGTGGGGCCACAGTTCATGTGCAGTGGATGTTGGCATTAGGCCTAAGAGGCTGGCTTGACCCCTGGGTCATGGATGTCATGTGCTTTCTTGGGCCTTATGGATGTGGCCCTGGAGTTCAGGTGCGGCACCAGCTCAGAACCAGTGTCACAGAGATCTCACTTCTGTGGCTCTCAGCTTGGACCCATTTGGGGCAGGAGGCATGTCCCTACGCAACCAACTTTGTTTTCTAGGGGGCCTGAGCTTCTCCAAGCACACAGCACAAGGGGGTAGGAGGCTGAGATGCTCTGAGCCCGTCTCTACGCCACATCACCTTACACTCAGACGCCTCTTTGTCACCCAAGCTCCTCCAGTTTATCTTCCTGTCCCCAGCTCCCTCTGCTTTTCTCTCTGGCCTGGTTGTTTGGCCACTAGGTGTCACTCTGACAGCCAGTGTCAGTACTTGAGGGCTTGTGTGTGAGTTTGGGGTGGGGGTGGGGGGGCGGCAGTGTGTGGTCAGAGGACAGACAGGAGTGCTGGTCCAGGTTTCCTGCGGAGCAGGGGTCACTTGGCCCTCTCCTGGGGTCCTCAGAATCCCTGCTGCTTTGGGGCTCAGGCAAGGCCTGACTGGGTAATGGGAGCCTCCCTGTGTTGTTTAGGTAACGAGAAGTGGGTGTTGTTGGGGCCCAAACAAAGAGAGGTTGAAAAGGGAGAGATTCAAGAAACCTGACCTGTAGAGCAGGACTAAAGTTGGAGAGGAGGGAGAAAGCTTGCAGAAGGTTAGGAATGTGAGGGGTGGGGGATTGGAAGCCTGGAAAACCTGGGCTAGGAAAGCAGAGGAGAGTGAACCTAAGAAAAGTTGTCCTCTGTGTAGAGATCCAGGCTTCTTGTTTTATTTCTCCTTTTCCTTGGAATTGTCTTCTCAAGGGAGAGCCGAGGAGGGAATTTTCTGCCTTGGTACATGAATGACCTGTGTCCTCAAACATAAGCAAAACTCTGCTTTCCCAGTGCTGGGGCAGCCCTCAGAGTCTGGGTAGTTGATTTTGGTGGTCTTTTGCAGAAATCTTTCCCTGAAATCCCCTCAGTTCCCCTCAGGGAGTCTTTATGAATTCTTCTGGGGCTTTGTCAGCATGGACACAACTCAGGTTTGAAAAAAAATTTTTTTTTAAGTTTATTTGTTTACTTTTGAGAGAGAGAGAGAGAGAGAGAAAAAGAGAGAATGAACAGGGGAGGGGCAGAGAGAAGGAGAAAGAGAATCCCAAGCAGGCTCCACACTGTCAGCACAGAGTCCAACGTAGGCCTCGATCTCAGAAACCAAGAGATCGTGACCTGAGCCAAAATCAGCAGTTGGATACTTAACTGACTGAGCCACCCAGGCAGCCCTGGTTTGAGAATATTCTTTGACATTATCAGAAAACTGGGTACCAGGATTTTCATCCAAGTCACAACAGAGACCTGGGGGAAGTGGGGAAGGTGGGTGGAATGGGAGGGGCTGCTGGTATTGTGGAAGGAGATGGAAGGCATGATCTCCTAAACATGTTCTTCCCTGCTGTGCTCTGTTGTCTGGGAACACACAGAGGGGAGGCCTGATCACAGTGGCTACTGTCTCCAGGCACAACAGGGTAGTGCTCTGTTTGGACTTTTTCATGGAAGTTAGCTCAGAACTGTCCCTAAGCCCTGAAACCTGACTTTGCCCAACCTTTCTCAGCTGCAAGCTGATCTATCTGGCGTCACCCCTACAGATCTGATGACAGGGCACAGCACTGTGTTTGCCATGCAGCACGTCCTGGGTGCGCCCCGTGTGGTGTGGAGAGGCCTCCGTGGAAGGGACCTCTTTATGACCAGGACTCTCTGCAGCCCAGGCCCTAGCCAGCCCAGAGAGAAAAGACCTGAGGAGGTGGCTCTTGGGCTGTACCATCGCCTCACAGCTCTGGGAAGAGCCCTGGGGCACGACATTCAACAGCGAGCATCGTCCACAGCCACGACTTGGTGGGACAGATATGAAGAGTTTGTTGGACTCAATGAAGTTCGAGAGGCCCAGGGAAATGTGACTGAGGTGAGGAGGGAAGCCACTGCCTTTGACTTGAGAAATGTGGCTGGGAGGCTCTTGCCAAATAATTACCAGCCACGTGGTGCTATGAAGCCTTTCCCAGATTTGCCTTTTCTTGAACAGATACTAATGGTAGAAGAATTTGACTCATTTCTCACATGATAACCTGGATTCAGTAGTACTGGGGGTGAAGATCTCTGTGTAACTACCAATCTATCCCAAAAACAGGTCCTATGTACTGATGAATCCCTGGCCATTGACCACAATTGACCACAGGGATTGACCACAATCCCTTCCATTGTGTTAGGCCAGTGAACACTTCCTACGTTGAGGGTCGGTGAGAGTGTTACAGTTTCCTCAAAGCCCCATGTGTAATTAAAACATCCTTGTGAAGGTACAGGCACAGGGCCATCAAACAGTGAGGTGGAAAGAGCTTCCTGTGACTGTGAAGCCCTCGGTGGCAGCAGAAATGCATTCTGTCATCTCTGTTCCCACTCCTGCCTAGCATGGACCAGGCTAGTGAGGTGGCAAGAACCTGGGGGTTCAGTGGGAGGTTTTGAGGCACAGTGCTGTCTCTCCCCTTGGAGGTCATGACCTTGGCTGAGCTGGGGTTTATGGGTCTGTAAAATGGAGGCCGTAGCAATGCCTCTTGTGGCATTGTTGAGAGGCGAAGATAAGGTAGCATGTGTGAAACAGTTTAGGAACCTAGGTTCCTCTCCATGGTTTGTATCAGACTAGAATTGGCTGGGTTTTGTGTGCAGCATTAGCTTTTTTCAAGTTTCTCAGGGGCATGTTATTTCTACTTGAATGGATAAATCCAGTGAGTCTGACAGGTGTGGCCCGGGGCTGCACTTTGAGGACTACTGGGTGAGCCAGGATTTTGTGTCTGAAGGACTCTTTTTTCCACCCTTTGCACTGACACCCCACTCCCCTCAGCCACAGCCTTGTTGGGAATAGAGCTGAGCCTGTGTGGGTGTGGAGGGAAGGGGCAGACGGCCTCCATTGTTCTCTCTGCAGGCAGAGAAAGTGTTCATGGTGGCTCGAGGGCTTGTGCGAGAGGCTCGGGAGGACTTGGAAGTTCACCAGGCCAAGCTGAAGGAAGTAAGGGACCGTTTGGACCGCATCTCCAGAGAGGATAACCAGTATCTAGAACTGGCTACGCTGGAGCACCGGCTGCTGCAGGTAGGCACTCAGAAGGCAGCCCTTCCTCATTGGATAGGGACCCTAGCCTGGCAAGTCACTGAGGGGCCAGGTGGGGACTCTGACTGGTCTGTTGGTCAGAGATCTGGTGAGAAGGTAAACCAGAAGCTCTGGGCTCCCAGGTTTCCAGAGCCTGTCCACCCACTTTCTTCTAGAGTACTGGGGTCAGCAGTCCAGGGCAGTATAATCTGGGCCCCAGATCCCAGATTGCTGAGGGGGGAGCACCAGGGAGGAGGGGACTGGCCTAGAGAGTGCCAGGTACTTCCTTCTGATGGACACATTCTGTAGTCATCAGTGCATGCCTGGTCAGACCCAGCACTGCTTGGGTGGGAAGGTAGTATTGCTCATCTTGACCGCCCTCAATTCCTTTGCTTCCTGCACCTGACTGTGTTTATGCTGCCTTCATTCATTCGGCGGGTTTATTGAGCATGCCATCTGTGCCAGGCATGAGGCTGGGCCCCAGGGACATCTGTGGGTGGCTCCAGCTACAGGGCCACGTTGCTGCTGTATAACCCAGCTTTGCTTCTGCAGGAGGAGAAGAGGCTTCGTGCAGCCTACCTACGTGCTGAAGACTCAGAGAGAGAGAAGTTCTCCCTCTTCTCTGCAGCTGTGCGGGAAAGTCATGAGAAGGAGCGCACTCGAGCCGAGAGGACCAAGAACTGGTCCCTCATCGGGTCAGTCCTGGGGGCCTTGATTGGTGTGGCTGGCTCCACCTATGTGAACCGTGTGCGGCTACAGGAGCTGAAGGCCTTGCTCTTAGAGGCACAGAAGGGGCCTGTGAGCCTCCAGGAGGCCATCCGAGAACAGGCATCCAGCTACTCCCTCCAGCAGAGGGACCTCCACGACCTCATGGTGGACCTAAGGGGCCTGGTACAAGCTGGCTCCGGGCAGAGCTCTGGGGCCCAGGCAGGTACTTCCCCCACCCGAGACAGAGGCACAGATGTCCTTTCAGCTGCCTTGAAAGAGCAGCTCAGCCATTCCAGGCAGGTCCATTCATGTCTAGAGGTTTTACGAGAGCGGCTCGATGGCTTGGAAAAGACTTTCAGCCAAACGGCTGAGGTGGTTCGGCTTACAAAGGCTGCAGCACACCCAGGCCTGCTGGGGCCAGCAGACAGGGCCCTGCCTGGCTCCTCGCTGGAGCATGGGAGCATGATCTTGGCACTGTCGGACATGGAACAGAGGCTTGAAGCCCAGGTCAACAGGAACACCATCTACAGCACGTTGGTCACCTGTGTGACATTTATGGCCACACTGCCCGTGCTCTACATGCTGTTCAGGACCAGCTAGCCCCGGGAGCCTTCAGGGGGCTGAGGGAATAGCTGTGGATACAAATGTAGCTAGAAAATCCCAACAACAAAGTGAGCCTTTGGGGTGCACACAGCCTCAGCCTGAGGCTGAGCACCATCTGTGTGGCTTACCAGCAGGCACACTTTTGACTTTTAGAAAATGTTCATTTATGTTAATTATCAAAACTTTGTGCTAATGTCCAAATAAAATGTCTTTGGGTTCGTGTTATTTAAAGTAATATTTCCATCAGATGGAGTTTTTCTTGTTGAAGACAGATTTGGGACTTGAGGGCTGGGCCTGGAATTACGGGAGTTGTGGATCCCCCCCTTCAGTTCCTCTCTCATCTCCTCTTGGTCTCATCCTCATCAGAACCATGTTGGATGGACTTAGGTTTGGGTTTTTGTTTTGGATTGCCAGGTCTGCTTGCCTGACCCTCCTGTGTCAGATAGCTTGGGGGTTCCAGCGAGTGGAACCTAGCCTGTGCACTCCCACTGCTGACAATGGTTCCTTCTGGATTACTTTCTCTGCCCTGGTGGGGAGAACCTTCCGGTTCTAATGCTGGAGGGATGATCAGAAGAGAGCAGGGAAAAGGGATCGGGGGAATGGTTGATAAATATTGCTGGGGACATAATTACAGGGATTGGCAGCCAGTCTGGGTCCCTGTGCAGAGAGAGCTTTGGGCAGCCTAGTGTGCCCCTAGAGCTAGGTGTCCTCCCATACAACAGCCTAGAGATGGTCTGTACAGGCACAGGCAGAGCTCAGCACGTCAGCAGAGTGAACTGCATGGCAATGATGGGGAGGGGCCTCCCTGAGGTAGGAGGTACAGTGGGGGAGCCTGGGGGCGGACTGCCCAGAGAATCCCTGACCTGTCCCTTTGCCGAGGAGAACAGCAACCTTTGATCTCCTGGCCTAAATGGCCATGGGTGGCCTTGTATGTTCTTGAGTAAATAGGACCAGTGGGAAGGCACTCTGTACTCCCACAGGTCTGGAAAAGCCACTCCTTTCTGAGCACATGGAGGTATGCAGGGTTTATGGGGAGGCGCTTCTGTGGGCTGGGGTTTGCTTGGGCCTGTGTGGAGCCTACTCTCAGCAGGGGCCTGTGGAGCCAGTAGGGTTTCCCAGGAGGTACTCTCCGTCCTTGGAGTCCATGCTCACGCTTGGGCAGTGAGCATGGCCTGGGTGGCCCCACGGGTTCTTTGAACTTCTGAGTGCCTGATCCCTTGGTCATTTGGTCACTCCATTCTTGACATTGTTTTCTTTGTGTAATGGTTCCTCAGGATGGCATGAGATGAAATAACCTCTGCACATGGAATGTTCACCCTCCTGGTGGGGTAGGAGACACCTTATCTGTGTACAGATGAGGGGTGCTGTGGGGTTTGGAAGTCCTGTGTCCACCTTTGGGGTGAGGTAGGTCATAAAGAGTATGCACTTGAGTGAATAGAGTTGAGGAGGGGAGTATTCCAGGTCTGTGGAAAGGGTCCCCCACAGGCTCAGGCAGGAAAGCCAAGGGGGCTGAGGTGGTGATGGACGTGAAAAAGTGGTGGCACATAGGGTAGAGAACGAACTGGAGGGCCTGGTGTCTGATGCTGGAGGCCAGGGATAAGGAAACCGGGGAAGGGGGGTGGTGCCATGCTGGTGGTGCACGGCCCCAGGTGCTGGGAGAGGGGATGGAGGAAAGGGAGTGACCTGAGAAGTTGGTGAGAGAAGGTGGAAAGCAGAATCGGGTAGATGAGAGTGAAGGCAGACTCTTGTTGAGGGGTGGCAGATGGCAAGAGTGTGTCTGTGGTGTTGGCTCTTTGGACACTAGCCAGTGTAGATGACCTGAACCTTCTGATTGAGGCTCTCCCTAGCCTGTGGAGGATCTGGGGTATTCCAGAGTGATGTGTCTCTGTGACAAATTTTGCCTCCCAGGAGGCTATCTCAGTGGCCTTGAGCCAAAGTCCTGCAAAAGTCCTAACAGCATGGGCCAGGTCCTGTCTCCTCTGAGTTTGTAGTGGGCAGGCCAGGGTGTGCGTGAAGGGCCCGGCAGAGGGCACAACTGGGCCCCTGCCCAGCGGTTCCTCCCTAGAAAGGCCTAGGTATTTGCCAGTGAGGGAGTCCAGACTTGCCCAAGGCTTCTCAGCTTAGGGTCGGTCACAGATACAGGCCCGGGAGGAAAAGAAGGAAATGCACCCTTGCTTGTGCGCTTTGCAGCTGCTGTGCCCTCCTGTAACAGCTGGCTAGGTGTGGTATCACCGCCACTTGCCACTTGCCGGTGAGCAAACAGGCGTGTGGGGGAAGGGAGGGGGTGCTCGGGGGATATGGGGGACTCAGGTTACTTGGCTTAGTGGTGGCACAAACCCAGGCCCAACCCCAAAGCCTATGCTCCTCTGGCATAGAGGTGGGGGCCGGAAGGAGGGGGTGGCTGTTAGGGAGTCCTGGGAGTAGGGAGGTGGGGAGAAACCAGGCGCCTAGAAGTTCAGGTAAAGAAAGTTGGAGAAGGACGACCACAGGAAAGGAAGGAGGGAGTTCGGGGCGCTGCGGAGCAGGGGTGGTGGCTGGCAAGCTGGCGGGGCTGGGGAGGGGTGCTGGTCCCACCTGGCGCCCGTGGGTAGGAAGAGGCCAGGCGCCGTACCTGTAACACCTGTGGGCGCCGAGCGCACCCCCCCCGGCCCCGCCCATCCTGGGAGGACTCTTGATTCCGGTTCCTGCGCAGGGCGCAGGTGAGGCCCAGTGGGGGCGGGATGGGGTGGGGTGGGGTCGGGCCGCGCCGCCAGAGCTCGCGGCTCCGCTCCTCGGCCTGGGCTCGCCTGGCCGCGACCCGCGTTGCCGTGGCTACCGCCGCCCAGCAGCCAGCGCCCCACAGGGAGGGGTCGAGTTCCCCGCCCTCGGCAAGTGCGGAGCCCGCAGGGCTGGAATGCGGGGTCCCGGGCGACTCGGGGCCGCGCGCCCGGCTCTCCCGGCTGCTTCCGGCCTGGCCTGGGCGGCGGGCGGGGGGAGGGCAGCCCGGCGGGCGCGGGGGGAAGGAGCGAAGCCCGGCCCGGCCGACGCGGCTTTGTCTCCTTTGTTCCCGGCGGTGGCAGCGCCGCGGCGGGAGGGGCGGGCAGCGGGCGCGCTTTTCCGCCCCTCGGTCTCCGGGTAACAGCTGCGGCGCCGCCGGAGCCACCTCCGGGGGGCGGGGGGCAGAGAGGCCGCCGCGCGCAGATCCCGAGCCCGCAGCGGCCGGCGCCCGCCTCGGCGCGCTCCTCCCGCGGGGCCCGGCCGGGTGGTGAGTCCGGGGCCCGGGGCTGGGGGCCGGGAGTGGCGGTGCGGCCCCGGGGGGGAGGGGCCCGGGGCTCGGGGCCGCCGGGCAGGGGCAGCCCGGGTGAGTGGTGGGCAGCTTCGGTCCTGAGAGTTGGGACCACACTTCGCCGCACTGAGGGAAACTCTGGCGGCTCCGCCTGTAACGCGATTGGGAGACAGAGGAGGTGGAGCTGCTCCTCCTCGCCCCCTCCTCGCCGCAGCCGCCGCTGCCACAGCCGGGACGGCCGGCCTCTTCCCCGCCCTCCCAAGACCACTGGTGGGGTCCTTGCCCCGCGGCCGAGGGAGGAGGGAGGAAGGTCGAGGAAGAGCCGTTGGGGAGGTCTAGGCTTGCCCTCTGTAGTAACAGCCCTTCCAGGCTGCTCTCTGCGCGACTGACAAAGGCGGACTGTGAGCCTTGTGCCAGGCATCCCCAGAGGGAGACCCCCCGCCTCCCTACACGATCCAGGCAGTGGGTGATTGATGAGCGCTACTGAGTCCGCGCGGGTGTTGCGTAAATGGTGGGCCCCTCCACTCCACCTCAAAACAGACAACAGGGCGAACAATGTGCACTCCAGCACTGTCAGTGAATCTCTTCTCTTGGGTGGACCCTGGGAGCCAAGCAGGAGAAGGGGAAGGAAAGTCGTTTCCCACTGATCCCCTTAAATGAGGGCTGGGGTACCACACTTCCAGGTGTGGAAGGGCGGAGTTTGTTAGCCCCTTTGATTGGTGAGGAGAGCTCCAGGAGGGTCCCAGAGCTGCTTTCTCTTTGCAGATAGAAGTTAGACAGCTGAGGGCTCTGCTGAAGCGGTCTAGAGAAAGATGGGCCCAGAAGAGACCTCAAGGCAGGCCTGGGGCCTGGGTACAGGCGGAGTTAGGCTTTGCCTTTGAGTTTGAATGCGTCCTGAGATCTTGTGATCCTGTAAGTTGAGGATATGAGGCCTGGCTACAAACCAGCCTTTTCAGTCTTCTCGAGCTTGGTTATTAATGAAGTGGGCCTGACACCCTGTCCTTTGAGAGGCCAAGTGGCCTGGAGCACGGTGTGGCTCCCATATCTCCCCTTCTGGCTGGATTTCCTTGGCTGTGAAATGGGGGTTCTTTTAACATGTAAGGAGCACCTGCTTTGTGATAATATCTGTCTTAGTTGCTGGGGCCTCTGAATCAAAAGCTACACTCCCTGTCTGCAAGGAGCTTTAAGTCTAGAGTTGGGAGGGTGAAACAGAGAGAAAAGTGTCTTTGGTTGGTGCCACTAATGCCAGGCACACGCATTTCGTATTTAACGGTCAGAGCATTCTGGTTTCCCATTCTGCAAATGGGAAATCTGAGGCTTAGCCCAAGCCAGAGCTGCAGTACACACTAGTGTGGTAGCTGGATATACCCATTCCATCCACCACATGGAGTGGGCTCCTCGGGAGCCTGGGGGGACACGAAAGGCTCTCCTAGGAGATGATGGTTGGGAGTCAGTTAACTAGATAGAAAGGGAGTGGGCATTCCAAGCAGGGAGGAGTGTGAAACAGCCCATAGTTGGGCCAGCAGGAGCTAACAGCATGTGTGGGGGAGCCCTGGCATAATTGGATGGAAGAAGGCGTGGACTGGAGGGGTTTGACCTTTATTCTTCAGGCCTTGGGCTGCCCCAGAGACGGGGCAGAGATGTGCTCTGATTCTGCTTGAAGATCTGTGAGGTAGGACGGCTGACCTGGAGGGGCTGGGGGCTGCTCTGGCCTGGGGCAGAGGTTGAGTGAATTCGAGTGCCCAGTAGGGAGGAGAAGATGTCACCACCCCTCTTTCCCTCCTCCCCTACCTGTGGTTTGTGGGGAAGGGTGAGGGCTTCACCCTTCAATCAGTGATTGAGGGAGTCCATCACTTTTCCCAGAGTGGGTCAGCCTCCAGCCTCCTGTGTGGCCTGGCCCGGAGCTGTTCTGATCCCTCCCATCTTCTTGTGGGCCACTTGACCCAGTTGTGACTTTACATTTGGGTAGTGTCTTGGTTGCTGCCCCTTGAGGGCTGGAAAACTTTGGCATGCAGTAGGCTCTGAGCAAATGTTTGTAAGCCAATGACAGAGTGACTCTTGGTCTAACTATGGACCCTCTGCCCCAGGCACATCCCTGGGCAGGAGGCTACTGGAGGGAGTGAGCGGCAGCTGAGTGCAGGAGGTGGGGTCTGCCCATCCTCAGACAGACCCTGTCTTCCCAGAGGAAGAAACTTTCCTCCCCCACCCCTTGGAAACAAGGTGGGGGGCTCCTGGGAAGCCTGGCCTTGCCATAGTCCTGAGTTCACGACTCTCCCTGCTACCCCTTTCCCCCACCCCTTCGGGTAGCAAACAGAGGCAGCCTTGTTCCTGCTCCCATAGAGCTGCCCTGTTCTCCTCACACTAAAAATGGAAACCCCCAAGCTATTTTGGGAGCAGTGCCCAGCTGGGCTGTGGCCACGGCTCCCTTGCTCCCACCAGGCGGCCCGACCCTCCTCTGAAACGTATGCTCAGTCTGCTCACTCTGGGGCAGTCTCCGCAGCACCTTGGTGGGGTCTTGGCTGGGAGGAGCTGACCCTAGATGAGGGAAGCTCTCCTTCAGGCAGATTGGCCGCTGGGTGGTGGGAGGGGCTGGCAACGTGGCCTGGGCAGAAGCGAGTAGGGGAGGTATCTCCCGGCCTGGCCTGGGAGCAAGCACTTCACCAACCTGGTGCTCTTGGTTGGGGACCACCCGGGGCTGGGGAAGATGGGGTTACCATGGTTTTGTGCTTCCAGCAGGCCTTAGCTGGGGTCCACAAGGAGGGATCTGTGAGGAGAACAGGCACCCAGGGTCTGAGGAGGGCCCAGGGATAGACATGGTGACTTCCTCTGGGACAACCCTCCTCCAGCCGTGGGCCCTGACTCTGCTCTGACTTGCAGGAGAAGAAATAATAGCAAGAGATGCCCTGGCTTCCACAGCCCTATAGGACTTAGGGCTTGAGCAGGGAAGTGTGCATGAATCTGTGTGCGTGGGTATCTGAATGTGGGTGGTGGTATGTATGTCTTTGCTGGGGGGTGTGACATGCACTTGTGTGGAATGTCTGTTCGCACAATGTGTATGTTCCCATGTGTAAGGAGGTTGTGTCTTTGTGCAGGTGTTTAAGTGTGTGTGGTACATGGCTTGCGTTCTTATGTGTGTCTGTGCTACGTGGACACACTGTACCTGCATGTATCTGCATGTGTGCAAGTGCCCATGTGATTGTGTATGGGTGTGCGCCTGCAGGGCTGGTGGCATGTATGCTTCTTGGTGTGTGCAAGCCCATGTCCGCTTCTGTGCCAGTGGCGGTTTGGGCTAGACAGTTCCTGGCCTGTGTAGAGGGTGTATAGTGGTGTGCCCTAATAGGACAGAGTTTGGGCAGAGGGTAAGAAAGAGAGAGTAGCCAGGAAGGAAGAAGGGGCTGCAGAGGGACAGGGCCATGCTGGGGGCCTGGCTGGGCCCCACCAGCCATGGGGCTCCTTCCTAGTTGCCCTTTCCCAGGCCCTGAGGATGCCTGGTTCCTCTGCCCTCCCCCTCCCTGTGTGGGCTCTGAGGAGGCGTCCCCTGTGGAATGTGTTTGGTGGCCGAGGGCCAGGCTGGGCCCAGTTCCATTGGCAGGCTGGGCAGCGGGTAGGGGAGCCCGGGCTCCCACATGCCTGCACCCAGCCCCCAGCTTCATGCTCTGCTATCTCCCTGGCTAGGTGACTTCCACACAGGTCATGCTGTTGTCTCCTGATCCAGCCGGCCCTGCCAGGTGAGCCTGACCCTACACCCAAGCACCTGGGAGAAGTGTGACTCCCACTTCTTAGGGCTCTCCAAGTCCAGTCATTTAGGCCCCAGCCCTGGCAGCCCCAGTCTCCCTCATCTCTTCCTTGGTTTTGTGGATTCCTTCTGGATTCTTGGCCTGAAAAGCCCTTCATCCAATTCTTGCTCTGCTCTAATGGGCAGATGGCCCATGGGTCCTTGCCCTCCCTCTTTCCCCCCATAGGCAGTTGACATCTGTGCAGAGAGGTCCTCTCCCTCCTCGGGGTTCTGGGCCCCTCCTTCCCATCATCTGCTCTCCTGCCTCTTCTAGACCCAGGTCCCTGGGGATGGTATATTTCCCACATCTCTGTCGCTCTAGGCCCTTACTCTCGGACCCTGTGGTGACACAGGGCAGTGCAGGGAGATGTAGGGGAGGGGTAGGATGGAAGTCCCCTGAGAGAATAGTGCTTGTAGGAAATGAACACTGTTGAAATTTCCAGGAAGGATCTCCTCACCCCTTGCTAGTGTGTAGTCCTGGGGTCATCGTGGACCACAGTGCTGTCTAAGCCTAGGCCTCCTCTGCTCACTCCCCAGGTTAGGAGGGGCATCTTGGCAATGTCACGGCCCTCTCGCCCACCAGTAGCCCATCAGCACTCCATCTCTCTCCTTGCCAGGTGACCATGCCTGTCCTCGGCCCAGCTCTCCTCCAGGCGCTCTGGGCCGGGTGGGTCCTCACGCTCCAGCCCCCTCCACCGGCTGCTTTCACTCCCAATGGCACGCATCTGCAGCATCTGGCACGAGATCCCACCTCAGGGACCCTCTACCTGGGGGCCACCAACTTCCTGTTCCAGCTGAGCCCTGAGCTGCAGCTGGAGGCGACTGTGCCCACTGGCCCTGTGCTAGATAGCAGGGACTGCTTGCCACCTGTGATGCCTGATGAGTGCCCTCAGGCCCAGCCTACCAACAACCTGAACCAGCTGCTCCTGGTGAGCCCCGGGGCCCTGGTGGTGTGCGGGAGCGTGCACCAGGGGGTCTGTGAGCTGCGGCACCTGGGCCAACTTGATCGGCTACTGCTGCGGCCTGAGCGGCCTGGGGACACCCAGTATGTGGCCGCCAATGACCCTGCAATCAGCACGGTGGGACTGGTGGCCCAGGGCTTGACTGGGGAGCCCCTCCTATTTGTGGGGCGGGGATACACCAGCAGGGGTGTGGGAGGTGGCATCCCTCCCATCACAACCCGGACCTTGCGGCCACTGGACCCCCAAACTGCCTTCTCCTATGAGGAGACAGCCAAGTTGGCCGTGGGCCGCCTCTCTGAGTACAGCCACCACTTTGTGAGCGCCTTTGCACGTGGGGCCAGCGCCTACTTCCTGTTCCTGCGGCGGGACCTGCAGGCTCAGTCTAGAGCCTTTCGTGCCTACGTGTCCCGAGTGTGCCTCCGGGACCAGCACTACTATTCCTATGTGGAGTTGCCTCTGGCCTGCCAGGGTGGCCGCTACGGGCTGATCCAGGCTGCAGCTGTGGCCACGTCCCTGGAGGTGGCCCAGGGGGAGGTACTCTTTGCTGCCTTCTCCTCAGCCGCTCCCCCCACTGTGGGCCGGCCTCCGTCAGCAGCTGCTGGAGCATCTGGAGCCTCTGCCCTCTGCGCCTTCCCCCTGGATGAGGTGGATCGCCTTGCTAACCGCACGCGAGATGCCTGCTACACTAGGGAGGGCCGTGCCGCAGATGGGGTGGAGGTGGCCTACATCGAGTATGATGTCAATTCTGACTGTGCACAGCTGCCTGTGGTGAGTCCCAGCTCATTCCTGTCTGGCATTCATGGCCAGGCAGGCAGCTGCCCGAGTCCAAAGGGAAGCTAGTGGTGGTGTGGGGGCTGATCAGTTGATGGATATTATGTGCTTCCTTTGTGTCTGGGTGATGGAGAGATGGTGCTCAGGGGGCAGAAGGCCATTCAGAGCGGGGCTTGGACTGCTTGCTGCAGAGGCAGTGTTCGTGTAGATGGACTGAGGGTGTTTGGGGTCCTAGGGTATGGGGCAGGGACCTAGAATGTGGGAAGATGCCCTGTTTTAGATTTTTGAGCAAGACACAGGTGAGATTGAGGCTTGTTTGGCTCTAGCCTCTGGATGGATAACACAGGGAAGAGATAACAGCTAGGGGGACTGAGTGAGGGAGAGGTGGCAGGGACCCAGGGGAGCGGACCTGGACATGAGGGTGCAAGCTTTGAAAGACTTTGGGCAAGTGGTCCAGGGGAAGGCTGAGTGTATAAACTGGGGGAAAGCCAAGAGGGTGGGAAGGTGGAGCCCCAGATAGGTGGGGATCAAGAGCGAGGTAAGGAGCTGCTGGGGCTGCTGGAGATAAGCAGCTGAGGCCCCACTAAGTCTGCAGCTGTGGGCAACATCAGGGAGGGCTGGCAGAGACACCAGGGGTGGGGATGAGGCTGTCCAGGGGCTCCTGAAGAGAGGGGTGATGGAATAAGGCTATCCCACCAGAGAAGAGAGAATCACGGAGAGCTGGGCTGGGCCAGGGGATGGGGATGTCCAGGGAGGACCTTACTGGTGCTTCTTGCTGCCTGTAGGATACGCTGGATGCTTATCCTTGTGGCTCGGACCACACGCCCAGCCCCATGGCCAGCCGTGTACCCCTGGAAGCCACAGCCATTTTGGAGTGGCCAGGAGTTCAGCTAACAGCTGTGGCAGTCACCATGGAGGATGGACACACCATTGCTTTCCTGGGTGATAGTCAAGGGCACCTTCACAGGGTGAGTCCATAGGAAGTACTGGGCCCTGTCACCGGGGTCTAAAAGAAATGAGCTGCTGGTGATACAGCCTGGGCAAAGGTATGCCTGTGACCCCTGGGACACACCCTTGGCCCTAAGGCTGGGAGAGATGACTTAAGCTTCTCTTCCCAGGGCTGGGTGGTATTTACCTGTGCTCTCCCCCACCCTCTGCCCTAGGGCTGGGTGTTGTGACTTGTACTAGCAGCAAATTCTGCTTGTGGATTTCTTCACTGTGGGAAGAGGAGAGGGCCTTGGGCCTATGGCCATGGACTTGGGTCCCAAAACTTGTGGTCTCTGATCTCAGGTCTACTTGGGCCCGGGGAGTGATGGCCATCCATACTCCACACAGAACATCCAGCTGGGGTCTGCGGTGAGCAGAGACCTTACTTTTGATGGGGCCTTCGAGCACCTGTATGTCATGACCCAGAGCACGGTGAGTGCCAGGCGAGAGTTGGGACCTGGCTGCTGGGAGGGGCCTTGGGCAGGGCCAGAGACCCATAAGTGGAGGAGTCACTGGTATTTGGATTGCTGTCGTAGCTTCTCAAGGTTCCTGTGGCCTCCTGTGCTCAGCACCTGGACTGTGCATCTTGTCTTGCTCACAAGGATCCATACTGTGGGTGGTGTGTGCTCCTTGGCAGGTCAGTGCTCCACTGACTCCTGACCGATTCCCCAACCCCAACCCCTGCCCCTGCCTTCCCTGCTCCTACAGAAATTGCCCTGCCCAGTATTCCTGGTCCTTGGCCCTTGACTTGCAGCCCCCGATCCCTGGATGCCCCACTCCCCTATCTCCATCCTCCATCCTGGGCCTCAGTGCCTTGCCAGGGCACACATAGCCTGGTGTCATGGCCCACTTGAGGCTCCCTGCCCCATGAAAGTGGATCCTGGTCATTCTCATGCAGATGCAGTCGCCGGTCCGAGTGCTCACGGGGACAGGGCCCAGAGCGGTGGCTGTGGAGCTTCCAGCCTGAGCTGGGCTGTCTGCAAGTGGCAGTTATGAGTCCTACCAACATCAGCCGAGAGGAGCGGAGGGAGGTGAATGAGCAGGGTGGGCGCATCCCTCGTGGGGAGGACTCTGGTGATGGGTCAAGACCTAGCATTTTATTTTATCGTTTTGTTTTGTTTATTTCTGAGAGAGAGATAGTGTGAGAAGGGGAGGGTCAGAGAGTGAGGGAGGGAGACACAGAATCCGAAACAGGCTCCAGGCTCTGAGCTAGCTGTCAGCACAGAGCCCGGCGCAGGGCTTGAACCCACGAACTGTGAGATCATGACCTGAGCTGAAGTCGGACGCCCAACCGACTGAGCCACCCAAGCGCCCGAAGACTTTGCATTTTAATGTCAGATGCTCTAAACACCACACGGCCCTGTACAAGTCGCTTATCTTGGGGCCCTTGCTTTCTCTATCTGTTTCTAATCCAAGCTGGAGGGCCTTTGTGAACGCTTGGGGGCTGGTGGCTGCTGTGCCTGCTCACACTGGGCACCCCGGAAACATGAGCCCTGGTCTGCTGCCCGGTGGCTCCAGCAAGCAGCATGTCCTGGCCTCTCTTGGCAGGTTTTCCTGTCGGTGCCTGACCTGCCGCCTCTGTGGCCAGGGGAGACATATTCCTGCCAGTTCGGGGATCACCAGACTCCAGCCCTGCTGACCAGTTCTGGTGTGATGTGCCCTTCCCCAGACCCTAGCGAGGCCCCAGCTCTGCCAAGAGGAGCCGGTGGGTGAGAGAAGGGTCCACCCCTGGGGCCCGGGAGCCCCACCCTCCTCCCATCTTGCTCCAGGGGGTGTAGTGGGGGTGAAGTGTGAATCCGAGTGGGGATCCCTGAAATAGCACTTTTCTCTGAGTCCCCTGACTAGTCCTCAGTCCCCTAAACTGCCCATTTTGTGTCCTATGAGCTGTGTTCCCCAGGTCCTGGGTGCTGACCCCACTCCTCAGCCTGGGCCCTCTCTCCTACCCTGCAGACCATGTGTCAGTGAGTGTGGAGCTCAGGTTTGGCGCCGTGGTGATTACCAAAGCTTCACTGTCCATCTATGACTGTACAGCAGTCACCGAGCTCCGCCCGTCTGCACAGTGAGTGCCTCCCAACACCCCTAGCGCCCAGGTGGCCCCATGGCGATCCCTGCCCCATGGCTGTGCTCTGTGCAGGTGCCAGGCCTGCGTGAGCAGCCGCTGGGGCTGTAACTGGTGTGTCTGGCAGCAGCTGTGCACGCACAAGGCCTCGTGTGACGCCGGGCCCATGGTGGTTAGTCAGCAGGTGAGCGGGACCCCCAGCCGGGCCCCACAGGGGTTTGGGGTCCCTGTTGTGAGGGTGTCTCTGATGGCCCGGGGTCTGTGTGCCTGCCCGCCCATGTGAAGCTCTGTGAGCACCTGAGCTGCTGTGTGTGACGGACTCACTGGAGAGCAGCTGCTGACGTCCCGCCTGTTTCGGGGAGAGGACGTTTGCAGCTGAGTGGCAGGGGAGGTCTGGGCCTCAGGTCCCACCTCAACACAGATGCCCCTGGAGCCTGCCCTCCCCTCCCTCCTTTGGAGAATTAATGGGCTGTTTTTGTTTCTCTTTCCTTGGTCTCCTTTCCTCTTAACACACCCTTTGCCTGCCTGCCACCTGTCCCGTGCCTGCCTGCTAAGTTGCCCCTCCTGTCTTTCTCTGCCTCCCCCTTCAGAGCCCGCTTCTCTCCCCAGCCCTTCCAGCAAGAGATGTACCCACCCCCTTCCCACCCGAAGCCCCCCAGACCCCAGCCATCCCTGCTCCCGACACCCTTCCTGTGGAGCCCGGTGCCCCCTCCACAGCCTCGGATGTCCCACCTGGGGACCGCCCGCCCCTGCTCAGCCCCTGGGGGCCGGGGGCGGGTCCTGGCCCCATACCTGCCTTAGCCTCCACAGAGCCACCTCTCCATGAGGAACCTCCCCCTCCCGAACCCCCCAACAGACCTGGAACCGCTGTCCCCGCCCCCACTGACTTCGGACCCACGGCCACACCCGAGGACCTCTTGGCCTCCCACGCATCGCCCACAGCTGCAGCAGCACTGCCCCCTGCCCCTGCAGACCCCGGCCCCGAGGCCGACCCCTCCGTGGCACTCCTGGACCAGCCCCCTGGCACTGCTCTCGCCACCACTTTCCCAGGGGCCGCTGGCTCCACGAAGCCCGCTCTGGACTGGCTCATGAGAGAAGGAGGCGAGCTGCCTGAGGCGGACGAGTGGATGGGGGGTGACACACCCGCCTTCTCCACTTCCACCCTCCTCTCAGGTGATGGAGACTCGGCTGAGCACGAGGGCCCTCCCGCCCCCCTCATCCTCCTGTCCAGCCTCGACTACCAATACGACACCCCCGGGCTCTGGGAGCTGGTGAGGCCCAGCCCAGGAAGGAGGCCTCAGGGGGAGGGGACGGTGGGGCAGACTCAGGCGGGATCGAGGGGCAAGCGGGGTCTGCAGCTCCACGCCGGCCTGGGCCCTGAGTCGTGTGCGGGGAAACAACCAAGGTGATGGGGTGGGCTCCACAGACTGCCTTGCTCTTGGTGTCTCCAGGAGGAGGTGAACTGGGGGGCAAGCTCCTGCCCTTGTGTCGAGAGTGTTCAGGGTTCCACGCTGATGCCAGTCCACGTGGAGCGCGAAGTCCGGCTGCTGGGCAGGAACCTGCGCCTCTTCCAGGTGAGTGTGTCTGGTTGCAGACGTGGTTGGCGGCCTCCTTGGCTGCTGGCCAACAGTACATGAGCCCTAGAGAGCAGGAAGAGCTCCTGGCCCCTCATCTCCCTCCCGACACAGGGGCTCTGCTAGGGGCCCTGCGGGACTCGCTGGGCCCAGCTCCAGAAGCTGCCTCAGTAGCCATGTCCTCTGCCCCCAGGACAGCCCTGGAGCCCATGAGTGTGTGATGGAGCTGGAGGGCCGCGAAGTGGCAGTTGAGGCCCAGGTGGAGTGTGAGCCACCTCCAGATACTCAATGCCACGTTACGTGCCGGCAGCACCAGGTATGGGTCGCCAGTGCCTGGGTGCACAAGGGTGTGCTGGCCGCAGGCTGGCTACTGACCTCAGTTGGCCGCACCACATTCATCCCAGCCCCAGATGTAACGCTGTGACCCTGAGGGAGTCTGCGTACCCCAGCTCTGACCTCTGACCCCGTGGCCTCATGGTATCCCTGCACCCCAGCTCTGACCTCTGACCTTGTGCATCCACAACTAGTCATTTGGTCTTTTCTCTGACCACCCCCTCCCTGAGCTTGATGCGTCCCCCAGGCCCAGGCTCTGACCCCACTCCCATTTCTCCAGTTCAGCTATGAGGCTGTGCAGTCAGAGCTCCGTGTGGGGCTGTTTCTCCGTCGGGCTGGCCGTCTGCGTGTGGACAGTGCTGATGGGCTGCACGGTGAGCTAGTTGGTGCCTCTGGGGCCACGGGGCTCCTCCAGGCCTGCCTCTCACATTTGTCTCTGCCACCCCCAGTGGTGCTGTATGACTGCTCCGTGGGTCACGGGGACTGTAGCCACTGCCAAACTGCCATGCCCCAGTATGGCTGCGTGTGGTGCAAGGGAGAACATCCACGTTGCGTGGCCCAGGAAGCTTGTGGCGAGACTGAAGCTGTGGCCACGCAGTGCCCCGCGCCCCTCATCTACTCGGTGTGTTGAAGTGCTGGGATGTCCCTTCCTTGCCGCTGCCTTTAGAGGGACAGTTGGGGTGCTGTGGGTCCAGGAGTCCCAAAGGTGGGAGTCTGGGACTGCCTTTCCAGGCTGCCAAGGGTTGACTGGTGGGCAGAGGTGAGCAGTCCGTGTCTTGGAACAGGTGGAGCCGCTGACTGGGCCTGTAGACGGAGGCACCCGTGTTACCGTCAGGGGCTCCAACCTGGGCCAACATGTGCAGGACGTACAGGACACGGTCAGGGTGGCCGGAGTGCCCTGTGCTGTGGACGCTCAGGAGTACGAGGTCTCCAGTAGGTGAGTTTGCTGGACTGACAGGAATTTCGCATACTTCGTAGGCTCCCCGATTGGCTTTCCTGCTCACGGCTGCCCACCTACTTCTCATCTGCCTTTTCTTCTCCCCTTTTGCTTGTTTCTGGTCATAATGCCTCAGAGCTGAGGTTGCCACTTGAGGCCCTGGAGCACCCACTTCGGCTTTGTGCACAGACTTACATGTCCCTGGCCTGGACTCTTTGGGGATCATTGCTGGGCCTGGGCACAATCACTGCCTAGAGCCAATAGGTGGCCCCATCTACGTGTTCTCACTTGGCTTTCTGAGGGAGCATGGACGTAATTGTGGCAGCAAGGTTCTCAGATCCCAGATAGTTGTGCTCAGGGGCTGGGTTTCCACTAACTGTCCTTTCCTCCCTAACCACTGGAGGCCTTGTGGCCTGTCTGCTGAGTGCCAGTATCCTTGTCTAGTCCCTGGGACCCTGGCTGCCTTCCCAGAGACTGTAGCTGATAAAAGGTCTGGGTCACGGTAGCCTGGCTGCCAGTGGCAGGGTCCAATGGTGCCCACGCAGGACACTCCCAAGGAGATATCCACAATCAGCAAATCCCAGACCTGGCTGAATATCAGGGTTACCTGGAGAGCCTGTCCAAAGTCACCATGGAATGGGTCCTTCAAGCCCACCCTCAGAGATCTGGATTCTGTAGGCCTGTGCTGGGGCTCCGTGGTCTGTATTTTAAGCTGGATTTTGTCGGAGCACGTGGTATTCCCTCTATCTGTTATGACCCAGAACTTTAAATGATTGTCTATACTGTTAATGATTCTAGAACCATGAGACTAAAGTAACTTATGAAGTGATTTATAAAGAGATTAAAATATTCTCTGGCTGAGGTCTCTCCTGGGTACTTTACATATCACTTGTTTTGTTTTCCAAAGTGTTGGCAGTGACTGTGACAATGTCACAGAGTCGAGTCACTGCCAGCTTCACCATGGGGACATTAATTTGTCCCAAGCTTCTGTTTTCTGGCTGAGAACCAACATTTCCTTAGATTGCTCACTTTCCCTTTCCATCTGTCCCCAGACCTGGCTAGAACTTCCAGGGACTTTTTTTTTCATGAGGAAATCAAGTTTCCACCACTTTGCAAGTGGTGCAGTGTGTGTGGTGATGGCAGCCAGTTAGGCCACACTCATCAGTTGGGTGCTTATCCCTGCAGCCAGCCTTACAGGGTTTCTTGTAAATTTGTGCCATGCAGAGAGGCGAATTCCTGTCAGCAGGGGGCTCTACAGTTGGACTTGGGTGATTAAAACCATGAATATTAATTCTCAGATGCCAAGGCCACCTGGTGTGCCATAAGGAATTCCCCCCAAAGCAAGAGGATCTCTGTTAATCTTAGGAACAAGGAGAATACCTCATTTAGTAGGGCAGGGAAGGGGCAGCTGGCTCAGTATGAGGGACCCTCGGTGTGGCCTAACCCTCCAGCCTGCCCTGTGCCCACAGCTTGGTGTGTATCACTGAGGCCAGTGGGGAGGAGGTGGCTGGTGCTGTGACAGTGGAGGTGCCGGGAAGAGGACATGGTGTCTCAGAGCATGACTTTGCCTACCAGGTAAAGTGGCTCCCCTGTCAGCCCTTCCTGGGGCTTCTCACCCCAAGGCCTTGTTTGCTTCAGGCTCCCCCTGCTTCTCTGTTGGTGGCCTCATGGCTGCCTATGTTTCCCTGTCCCCCTTCCCACAGGACCCGAAGCTGCATTCTATTTTCCCGACCCGAGGCCCCAGAGCGGGGGGCACCCGCCTTACCCTGCATGGCTCCAAGCTCCTGACTGGGCGGCTGGAGGACATCCGAGTAGTAGTTGGTGACCAGCCTTGTCACCTGTGAGGGCTGCTTCCTCATTCTGCAAAAAATCCATGTGTTCTAGGGAGAAGACAGAAGGGTGGGATATGGGGAGAGCGGAAAGGGGGAGAGGGTCAGGTCTGCTCCATCAGAAAGCTGGGGCTGTCATGGGACTGTGGCCTCCAGGGTCGCATATGGAGCTTGCAGTCAGCTCTGAAGGGAAGTGAGCTGAGGCCTGAGTGGGTCCTGTGTCCTGGAAATCATCCCTGTCTCCTTCCTGGCCTGCCTTCCACTCATCCCTCCCTTCCCTAGGCTGCTGGAGCAGCAGGCCGAGCAGCTGCAGTGTGAGACCAGCCCCCACCCCACGCCTGCCACGCTCCCTGTGGCTGTGTGGTTTGGGGCCGCTGAGCGGAGGCTTCAACACAGCCAGTTTGAGTACACATCAGACCCCAACGTCACCTCTGCCGGCCCCACCAGGAGCTTCCTCAGGTGCTGGGCCAAGGGCATGGCTGCACGGCAGGGAGGTCTTTGCAGCTCTAGTTCATGGGGAGGTTGCGGGGCTTTCTGTGGGGGCCGTGGCCCCTGTGCTGCTGCTGGGGAGAGGGCCGAGCGGCTTTGGGCCGGGCTGGCCCGGATTCTCATAAGCCATGGGTGGTTCACGGTCTGTGTTGCAGTGGAGGACGGAAGATATGGGTCCGTGGCCAGAATTTGGATGTGGTACAGACACCAAGAATCCGAGTGACTGTGGCCCCAACAGCACCGCAGCCTGGCTATGGGTTTGGGCGGAGGCGCCGTGTGATCCCAGAAACAGCATGCTCCCCTGGAGCTTCCTGTGGCGGCCATCACGTAGGACACCCATGGGCGCCCCCTGCTTGTTCTAGACTAGCTCTCACCCGCATCACCCCTGCCCACCCCGTACACAGCCATGGGTGGCGGGTACTGAAGGGGCTATTGCCCTATCTTTGCTGGCCCCCTTCCTAAGGATAGCTCTCAACTCTCCTCCCCTGTCTTTCCTCCCTGTGCCCAGTTTGAGGAGCCATGCCACGTGAACTCCTCTCAGCTCATCACGTGCCGCACGCCTGCCCTCCCAAGCCTGCCTGAGGACCCCTGGGTCCGGGTGGAATTTATCCTTGACAACCTGGTCTTTGACTTCGCAACACTGAGTACCACACCCTTCTCCTATGAGGCCGACCCCACTCTGCAGCCCCTGAACCCTGAGGACCCCACCGTGCCATTCCGGCACAAACCTGGGAGTGTGCTCTCTGTGGAGGTACTGTTACCACTCACACACAGGGGCTGGGGGCTCATGGCCCTTCATTTGCTGGTCACTGCTGCTGTGCGTGGCACAGGGCACAGGGAAGCAGAGCAAGGGCCAAGCCAACAGACCTGGCTCCTCACCCTTCATGTGGTGAGGGCTGAGGGGCTGGTGATGGGCTGCCTCGCCTGACACATCCGGCTGGGGCTTGGGGCCTATAGCCTGGGCCCCCACACACCCATGGCAGGAGTCTGAATGACGATATGTAAATGGTTGGGCACATGCAGTAGCTGGGGGGCATGGTACACAGTAGGCACCTGGGCTGATGCCCGTTTGGCAGCCTGACTCGTTGTGAACAAGCACTTGGCATGGGTTCTGACACGTGCAGTAGGTGGGCGTTCTGAAAGGTCGTAGGTACACAACCTGGCATTGTCCACCTGGTAGACCAGCAGACACAGTAGGGACTCTGGCTTTGTTAGGTGACTGGGCAGGATTTGGGGGCAACTTTAATATTGTCTAGATTTTAAGCTCTGGAAAAGTGAAGATGTGAGGAAGAAGGATGGGAAGGGCAGAGAAGGGAGGGCCTGGGGGGGGAGGGGCAGCCTGGAGAATAGCCATGGACTGTCTCCTCCTATGCAGGGAAAGAGGTGCTGAGACAGCATCAGCCCTGCTCCGGGGGGGTAGGTGTCAGGACCATGCTTCCCACACTTCAGGGGATAGGGTCTGAGTGACCCCTCAAGGAAGAGTTCTGAGTGATCTCGTGTTCCAGGGGGAGAATCTGGACCTTGCAATGTCCAAGGAGGAGGTGGTGGCCATGATAGGGGATGGCCCCTGCGTGGTGAAGACGCTGACCCGTCACCACCTATACTGCGAGCCCCCCCTGGAGCAGCCCCTGCCCTGGCACCATGCCCTCCGAGAGGCACCTGATGCTCTGCCTGAGTTCACGGTCAGTGGGTGGGCCCTGGGTCGGGCCAGGCATTAGGCATGTGATGAAACTTTGCTCACGAGTGGCTCCCCACGTAGGTGCAGATGGGGAACCTGCGCTTCTCCCTGGGCCATGTGCAGTATGATGGCGAGAGCCCCGTGGCTTTTCCCATGGCAGCCCAGGTGGGCTTGGGGGTGGGCACCTCTCTTCTGGCTCTGGGTGTCATCATCATTGTCCTCATATACAGGTGGGTGCAGCCAGATGTGGCTGGGCTGGGGCAGGTATGGGGTGTGGCTGGACGGGAAGGGCAGACTAGGCCAGGGGCCAACAAAAATTTCCTGTAAAAAGGGCCGGAGTATCTATCTTAGGCTTTGTGGGCCAGGTGGACTCAGCTGCAGAAGCTCAACTTTGCTGTTACAGAGCAGGAACAGCCATAGACAGTACGCAAACACATGAGCGTGGCCGTGTGCCAACGAATCTTTACTTACAGAAATAGGTTGTGGGCCAGATTTGGCCTGGTTGTAGTTTGTTGAACCCTGGGCTAAACTGCTGGGCTAGACTAGATATGGGGTGTACTTGCCCAAGACAGGACAGGCTAAATTATTCTGGGCTAGGCCTTGGCTTGGCTGTGCATGGCCGGGTCACACTGTGCCAGCCTAAGCCAGGATGAGGCTGGGGTAGACAGGTCTGGGCCGGAGGCACCACCAACAACTCTGGCCTTGTCTGGCCTTCCCCTTCCTGACCTTGGTGCTGAGCAGGAGGAAGAGCAAGCAGGCCCTGAGGGACTATAAGAAGGTCCAGATCCAGCTGGAGAATCTGGAGAGCAGCGTGAGGGACCGCTGCAAGAAGGAGTTCACAGGTGAGGCTGCAGAGAGTAGGCCTGGAACATGCCTCAGGGCTCTGCGCAGGCCTGCCCCCGTCTCGTGGGATCCACGCCCAAACCTGGCCTCTTCTGCCCAACAGACCTCATGACTGAGATGACCGATCTCACCAGTGACCTTCTGGGCAGTGGCATCCCCTTCCTTGACTATAAGGTGTATGCTGAGAGGGTCTTCTTCCCTGGGCACCAGGAGTCACCCTTGCACCGGGACCTGGGTGTACCTGAGAGCAGGCGACCCACCGTGGAACAAGGGCTGGGGCAGCTCTCCAACCTGCTCAACAGCAAGCTCTTCCTCACCAAGGTGCCACTTGGCGCCCCACCCTGGGCCTCCCCACATCTGGCCTCTCCTGGCCCCACCCCTCCTGCCCCAGCCCCACCCCTTCTCTGTCTCTCCTTTTCTGAATGGGCCCCTTCTTCCCTCCCTATCCCGGTTCCCTGGCCCCAGTTCATCCACACCCTGGAGAGCCAGCGCACCTTCTCAGCTCGGGACCGCGCGTACGTGGCATCTCTGCTCACCGTGGCACTGCATGGAAAGCTCGAGTACTTCACCGACATCCTCCGCACCCTGCTCAGTGACCTGGTGGCTCAGTACGTGGCCAAGAACCCCAAGCTGATGCTGCGCAGGTCTGTGTGGCTGTCGGAAGCCATGGGGACCTTGTGGTTATAAAGGCTGGAGCCAAGGGCTGAGTCGAACCCTCTGGAGCTCTGCAGAACAGAGAACCTGGAGGCCCTACCTCCTGACCTGCCCCTCCCTTCTTGTCATCCTAGGACAGAGACTGTGGTGGAAAAGCTGCTCACCAACTGGATGTCCATCTGCCTGTACACTTTCGTGAGGGTGAGAGGGGCAGCGGTGGATGGGGCTCGGGCTCCCCTCTGGGGCGAGGCAGGACTCTAAACCACACAGCTTCCAGCTTCAGCTCAGACACTCCTGCCCAGCACGTCTCATCCACCTTAGGCCCTACGCAGCCTGTCCCCTTCCCCAGCATGGGCCATGTCCCATGCACCTCTGTTTCATGCCTTCCCCTGCCCTGGGGGCCCTCACTGTCTGTCACTTCCCCAGGACTCAGTAGGGGAGCCTCTGTACATGCTCTTCCGTGGAATTAAGCATCAAGTGGACAAGGGACCCGTGGATAGCGTGACTGGCAAAGCCAAATACACCCTGAATGACAACCGCCTTCTCAGAGAGGACGTGGAGTACCGTCCCCTGGTGAGGGAGGGAGGGAGGGAGGGAGAGGGATCGGGGAAAGAGAGTTGGGGAGGGAGCGGGGAAGGAGGGAAAGAGAGTGTGAACATGCACATGTGTAGTGGTGTCTGTCCCTGGTGAGGATGAGGAGGGTAAGCATGTGTGATCATTGTGAATGGCTGGCTGCTGAAGCGAGACCTTTAGATTAGCTTAGCAGCATAAAGGCTTAAGGGCCAGGCCTCGGGCAGAGGGCCTTGAGGACAGAACCTCAGGCTCGAGATGGGGTCAGAGTGGCCACAGCAAGGGTTTGGGGAGCAGTCCAAGTCCTTGGACTGAGCCAGGGCCTGAGTGTTTGCTGGACCATCATCTCAGTGTCCTGGCAGTGATGTGATGTGCCTACCAAGCCGGGTGCCAGCTCTGTCAGACTTGTCCGTCTCTTCTTCTGGGTTGCTTTCCCTTTAGTGGAGTGCTGTCCTTGGTGGCCCACATGGGGTACCTTTCTTGGTGGCACATGCAGGGTACCTTTTGGAAAATCTCATTTCAGGCTCCAGCAAACCTGTCCCCTCTCAGGCTGGTAGGAATCCTCACTTTTTTTGAAGGCTTCTCTCAGGTGCCTCAGCCTGACTAGTTGAGCCAGGAACTTGGGGACCTGAGTTAAGAGGGACTTGTGTTCACTTGTTTTTTTCTGCCATTCGCCCCATAGACATTTACTAGTGCACTGTGCTAGGTGCTGGGGTCAGGGTGGAGAAAGCCACTGTCCCTAGGGTGGGGGGCGGACGAGTAAAGAGATAAGAATTAGGGAGTCATTTGTGCTGAGAGGTCAGAGCCAGTGGCTTCCTCATGGGTTGTCCCTGACCTTGCGTGTTGGTCATCCCGTGTGTGGCATGAGCCCTGATTGCTCCTGCATATACCTCGGTAGACCTTGAATGCACTGTTGGCTGTGGGGCCTGGTGGAGGAGAGGCCCAGGGTGTGCCTGTAAAGGTCCTGGACTGCGATACCATCTCCCAGGCCAAAGAGAAGATGTTGGACCAGCTTTATAAAGGAGTACCTCTAGCCCAGCGGCCAGACCCCCGTACCCTGGATGTCGGTGAGGGTGGAGGGGATGGGTAGCCTGGGGACCTGAGCCTGGGTGAAGGCTGGGCTGCCCCTGGACCATATCGCTCAGTGGGCACGAGCCAGAGGCTGGGACGACCTCTCACATGGTGAGGTGCCCCTGATCTAGTCTCTGGAGGGTTGGGTAAGGCTGCCCCCTGACGGTGGGGCCTGTGTCCCTGGGGAGGAGGAAGTAAGCTCCACTGCAGGAAGGGTGTCCTGGAAGCCCTGGACCATGTCCCAACTTGCTTTTGCAGAGTGGCGGTCTGGGGTGGCTGGGCATCTCATTCTTTCTGATGAGGACGTGACTTCTGAGGTCCAGGGCCTGTGGAGGCGCCTGAACACCCTGCAGCATTACAAGGTAAGAGGGGTCAGAGCGGGAGGAGGGGTAGGTGGGGCGGGGCTGGTGGAGGGGTCACCGGCTGTGGTTAGCAGGTCCCAGATGGAGCAACTGTGGCCCTGGTCCCCTGCCTCACCAAGCATGTTCTCCGGGAAAACCAGGATTATGTCCCTGGAGAGAGTGAGTATGCCACCCCCCGCTGACCCCTGCCCAATCACCATCCTCTGCCCCTGCTTTGCCCAGTCCCCAGTACTGGGGCAGGTCCTCTGGACCTTAGGGTGGGCTTGTGTCTACCTCCCTTCCACCTAGAGAAGCCCTCAACCGGTGCTTCCACTCCTGGAAGTTGGCAGGATGCTGGGGGCTCAGGGGAGGGGGTACCTGTTGAGCCCTGGGGTCTTGGCACAGGGACCCCGATGCTGGAGGATGTGGACGAGGGGGGCATCCGGCCCTGGCACCTAGTGAAGCCGAGTGAGGAGCCAGAGCCTCCCAGGCCTCGGAGGGGCAGCCTTCGGGGCGGGGAGCGTGAGCGAGCCAAGGCCATCCCTGAGATCTACCTGACCCGTCTGTTGTCCATGAAGGTGGGGCAGGAGGGATTGGAGGCTGGGGTCAGGGATGGGACAGGCTGTAGGTCTGGGCTGTGGGGGAAGGCACGGCTACTTATGGGATTTGGGGGGTAGTGTGGGACTCGCACGGGCATAGTGCCCTGAGGTGTCTGAGGCTGGGCTGGGGCTGAGGTCCCCTGTCCCCTTGCTGACTATACCTCCTCTGTGCTTCCCTTCCCCCACAGGGCACCCTGCAGAAGTTTGTGGACGACCTATTCCAGGTGATTCTCAGCACCAGCCGCCCCGTGCCACTTGCTATTAAGTACTTCTTCGACCTGCTGGATGAGCAGGCCCAGCAGCATGGCATCTCCGACCAGGACACCGTCCATATCTGGAAGACCAACAGGTGGGGGTGGGGCATGGGGTGAGGCAGGCCAGGTGGGGGCGGGGTCTTCTCTCCCGCCTCCCCAACATGCTCATCAACCCGCCTGCCCTACCCACAGCCTGCCGCTAAGGTTCTGGATCAATATAATAAAAAACCCGCAGTTTGTGTTCGACGTGCAGACATCTGATAACATGGATGCAGTGCTCTTGGTCATTGCTCAGACTTTCATGGATGCCTGCACCCTGGCCGACCACAAGCTGGGCCGGGTGAGTGGGTCAGGGTGGAAATGGAGGGCACAAGTGGGGGAGGGTAGTATGGGCCGGGGGTGGACAATGTCTTGTGTGCACCGATTCCAGGTTTGGCTGAGAATGTCAGGGAGGAGGGCTGGGGAGGCCTCCGACTCCAGCCCCAGGCCGGGCTTTGTCCCTGAGCTCCGTGGGAGGTGATAGTGACAACCCCTCAGGAACCAAATCCACCTCCACCAAGCAGCCTGGAGCTGTGCTGTGATTGTAGGATCCGCATGTCCACCTGGAAACCACCTAGTGGCCCCACCATCACCTCGGGCTCACCTCCCCCAGGTCTGGGCTCACCATAGCCAGAGGCCCAGGAATCAGAAGTGACTCTGCTTCTTCTTTATCCCCCACACGCAGGGGCAGAGGAGGTATCTGCCAGCTAGTGCAGGGCAGACAGGAGAATCCAAGTAATGAGCACCAGGCGTGGGGCGAGGTGCTGGCGAGGGGAGCTGGGAAGCAGGAGAGGCCAGGGCTGTTGTGGGGTGTTGTCATAGTAGTAAGAGCCAGGGGAGTCTCATGATAGATAAGCGGCCTGCAACGGCACAGGCCTGTGGCTCTACAGGCCTCTGAAGGGAGCCGTTACCTCTCAAGGGATCTAATTTCTACTCTGTAGTGCTGTCTTCTCTGAAGGGAGCCGTTACCTCTCAAGGGATCTAATTTCTACTCTGTAGTGCTGTCTTTTGAGAGCTATTTCTGTTCTGTGTGTTCTCATCACTGTGCCTATAATGAACCAAAAACTATAGGGCCACCCCACGAGGACCAGGGGACTACCTTGGGTGGATGCTGTGTGGTGGCTGGGGTTTTGCCCAACCTTCACCTGGCCTCCCCTTCCCAGCAAAACTGCAAATGCTTGCTGGGTAGCTCAAGAAGAGTCCAAACCAGGAATGCCTAGGGTCCCCCCACAGAGCGTTGCTGAGAAGGCATGCATTCTGACTCATGACTCAGCCCCGGGGATGCATCGCTGTCCCTGGGGGTTGGGGGCGAGGGTGCGCCTCACCCTCCCGGCAGCTTCAGGATGAGGTAGCAGGTGCTGCCCAGGGCTCACTGCTGCAGAGCTGGGATTGGAACCCACTTCAGTGGTAGAGGATGTGTCTGGGTGTGTTGCAGTGTGGGTTCTGGCCTGAGAGACCTGATGCAGGTGCCAGCTGGGCCACTTGGAGTGAGGTGGTGTGGGGCAAGTTACTTTATTTCCTGGGTCAGTTTCCTGATTATTATTATTTATTTATTTTCTTTTTAAAGTTTATTTCTTTTGAGAGAGAGAGAGAGAGAGAGAGCGAGCGAGCATGTGCAAGCAGGGGAGGGGCAGAGTGAGAGGGGAGAGAGAATCCCCAGCTGGCTCTGCACCATCAGCACAGAGCATGATGTGAGGCTCGAATTCAAAAGCCATGAGATCATGGCCTGAGCCAAAGTTAGACACTTTACCAACTGAGCCCCCAGGTGCCAGTTTCCTGATTTTTTAATTTTAATTTTAATTTTTTTTAATTTTAATTTATTTTTTAATGTGTTTTATTTATTTCTGAGAGAGAGAGAGCGAGTGAGCGAGCATGAGTAGGGAAGGGTCAGAGAGAGAGGGAGACATAGAATCTGAAACAGGCCCCAGGCTCCAAGCTGGCTGTCAGCACAGAGCCTGACGTGGGGCTTGAACCCATGTACTGTGAGATCATGACCTCAGCTGGAGTCAGATGCTTAACTGACTGAGCCACCCAGGTGCCCCTCCTGATTCTTTTTTTTTTTTTTTTTTTTTTTTTTTAATGATTACGTGAGGAGGAACAAGCAGTGTGTGGAGAAGCAGCATTAGGGCTCCTATGGCGCTGCGCCCTCCCACCTTGGGTGCTGGTTCCTTGCTGGGTCTAGGCAGAGGCATGTGCAGCTGAGAAATGGCCTTGGGGTAATTGAGGGAGAAGCTTGAGGTGACAGAAGTGGAGATTGGACATCGGTGGAGGGGAGAGGGCAGAAGAGGTCCTTGCAGAAGGAAATGGGCCAGGGGCACCAACCATCCCAGTTGCCTGGGACTGAGGGGTTGCTGGGATATTGAAAACGGAAGCGGTGCTGGGAAAATTGGGACAGTTGGTCACTCTAAGGGGCCTCTCCTCTTTTCTCTCCTGCTGGCACCCAGGACTCCCCCATCAACAAACTTCTGTATGCTCGAGATATTCCCCGTTACAAACGGATGGTGGAAAGGTATGAGCGTGAGGAGAGGGTCTGGAAGGGGGATGAGTGGACAGATTGATGGATGTTTATGGCTGCAGCCATGGGATTGGGCCCTGATGGAGGGAGGAATGGTTTGTTTACCTAGCAGCTGGCTATGGTCTCTGGCAGGTACTATGCAGACATCAGGCAGACCGTCCCCGCCAGTGACCAAGAGATGAACTCCATCCTGGCTGAGCTGTCTCGGGTATGGCCCTCCCTCTTCTTCTTGGGTTGAGCACAGGCCTCCTGACATGAGGACCCTGCTCTTTTGCAAGGAACCCCTTGGGGCCTCAGCAATCCTGTGAGCTGGTTGGGGGCAGGACACATACATCCCCATAAATGCAGAATGTCCCAGTGGCCACTATAGAAGACCAGGGCTCCCAACCTCTCACTGCAGAGCAGCAGGGGCTTATCTTGGCGGCTGCCACCTACCTGACGCTGCCAGCTGCTTGGGTGCCTGCAGCCGGTGTTTAGGTCTGGGGACGATGTATCCAGAGCAGCGAGATGGCCGTGATTCAGCCCCAGGACAGTCCAGGTCAGCCTGCCCGTGTCTTCATACAGCATTGCTTCCCTTGGTGTCGACATGCCCCCACCTACTTTTAAAACAGTCCCCAAACATAAACTTCAGGGAACTTAGTGTTTCTGAAACAGTGATGGAAAACCGCAAGCACACAGAACGCACGACAACGGCAGCTACGATTTGGCGGGTGGTGCTTTGTCTGCTCACCCGACACCCATAGGAGCTCCGCAGGTTGGGCGCCATCAGCCCTGTTGTCCTGACAAGGAGGTGCGGGCTCAGAGATGGCCCCGTGGAGAGGCCCCATGTGACCTCCCAGAAAATGTGATGGAGATCAGAGCAGACCTAGCTGGGTCACAGCCTGTAAGCAGCTGCTGTCCCATGGGGCTCAGCAACCATCTGGGGTCCCAGGTGGTGCTTCGAGGGGAGAGAAGCTGGGCCCTGCTCCCGCTCAGACCCAGGAGCCCTGGTCTCTAGGTGGGGCTTCTTGCCACGGGGCCTGTCCTTTCTGCCACCAGGGGTCCTGTGGTTGGTGACACCACTCATCCCTCTCACTTCTCCCTAGAACTACTCTGGGGACCTTGGGGCGCGAGTGGCCCTGCATGAACTCTACAAGTACATCAACAAGTACTACGACCAGGTGGGCAGAACCCTGGGCCCTGATGGAGGGAGGGAGGGACTGTGACTAGTGGTCTCCCCCAGGTGCAGAGCAGGGGTGGGGCTGGGTCCTGGTATCTCCTCTGCTTTCCCCTGCCCTTGTCCTCTCCCCTGGGGCTCCTCTGAAGCAGCTGGGATGCCAGGGGATCTGCCAGGGCCTGGAGGTGGCGTGGGGGATGGGCTGGGAGGGACACATAGCTGCCACCTCTGCCCCCACATTGCCCTGGCCCCCATCCCTACCTGAGTCCCCACAGTGGCAGCATGCTGTGCATGGCCAGAGAGGAAGGTCCTGCCAGGGGTGGGTGAGGCCACAGCAGAGCCAGCGAGGGGGCTGTCTGGGGAACTTGGACTGGGCCTCAAGATCACAGCATATGCGAGTCAGCCTGCTAAATGTCTGCCAGAATTGTCCCCTCGAATGTTTGTGTGGCACCAGTGACGTGGCTATTGCTGTTCAGAGATGAGCCTGCCTCGTGGCCAGCCTGGAGGATAGTCATCTAATGTGAATTCCAGGCACCCCAGGCTTGCTCAGGCAGCAGCTCCTGCACGGGGGAGGCGGGGGTGGGGTGGGGTATTGGGGAGATGGCGCAGGCCCCGCTGACTGGTGGGCACCACTCCCCCCGTGGCAGCCCCCATCTGTGCTTACGCAGTTGTTGGTGTTGGCTCAGAATCTGTCTTGCCATCAGTGAGCCCTGTGAGGGCAGGGTCACACGTGTCCCATCATCGTGGGGCCCCTGCTCCGTGCCCAGCACCTGGAGTGGGAATACAGGAAATGCTTGCTGCCTGGTGGGCGGGGGGGAGCCAGAGGGCTGGAACAAGGGTTTGTGGGGGAAAAGGCTAGCATAGTGGGTGTGGCTGGGCTCCACTCAAAATGATTTTTACTGGTGGAGGTGGATGCTCATTACTGTGAGTGCTAAGTACTGAGTAAAGTACTCCATTCTCCACCTCTCTAATCCTTAAAACCCCACGCTGACTTCACCAGCAAGGCCCAAGGAAGTGAGAGGGCTAGCTGCGGCCCCCAGTTGTGCCGCAGTGTTTGAGGAGGCCTGTTGAGGGCCATGGGGGATGCGGTGGCTGGCAGGGCCTGCTGACTGGTGGCTCTGTTGCAGATCATCACTGCCCTGGAGGAGGACGGCACGGCTCAGAAGATGCAGCTGGGCTACCGGCTCCAGCAGATTGCAGCCGCTGTGGAGAACAAGGTCACGGACCTGTAGAGAACTGGCCAGCCCTGGCCTGCTATTGCCTCAGCCCTGCCTGGGCAGCCCTGGAACTGTGAGGGAGAAGCCGCCTTCTTAGATGCCTGTAGTACCTGATGAGTGGAGTTAGTGGAAGGCAGCCCCCGGGGCTCCTGGGGCCTCTGGCCTGGGCCCTGCTGGACCTGCCTCTCAGGCCTGGGGCCGTGAGGCCAATGGGGTGGTGCCCAGCCTGCTCCCCGAGCCCGGTGACCCTGTGGGCTCTTTCCTGAGTGATGTCAGTCTGTGGGGAGTCAGGGACTCAGGGCTTCCAGAGAGTGGCTAGAAGGGCCTCCAGCCTCTGGAGAAACTGTACTGTTCCTGAACACTGGCCTTTATCCCAACGGGATTCCGAGGGGAAGGAGGAGAGCCCCACTTCCCGTCCTTTCCTCCTCCATCATCCCTGACCTCAGTTTAGCTGCCTCCAGCCTTGTTGCTGCTGCCACGTTCCTAGGTCCGAGAGACAGATGCCTCTCCTAGGCCACTGCAAACTGACCCCTTGGCAGGGCTGGCTGCCTCAGGGCCACCCTGCCTCAGAGTCAGCCAGTGGTGAGGGGCACTTGCTGCAGGGACCTGGGGGAGACCGGTGGCCCCACTGACCCAGCTCTTAATTAAAGGATAACACACTGCTTGACGTCTGTTATGTGGGCTTGGCCCAGCCCCTCCCTTGGTAGGAGGCTGTTAGCCGTGCCTGGCAGGCACCGGGGCAGGGGTGGGGTGGGGTGGAGTGGGGTGGGGGTGGGGAGGTGGGGGGAGGAGGTGGGATCTGTACCCTGGGCTGCAGACTGTTGGGCTGGCTGGGCTCTTTTTGGCTCTTGGGCGGGCCTGCTGGGTTGAAAGCTTCTGGGAGGGAAGTGAGAACCCCATCCAGGATGGGCTGGGGAGCTTGTGACCCGAGGTGGGGGGGCCCTGCCTTGTCAGCAGCTCAAGTGTTCTAATGCCACCATCCGGGTCCCATCGTCTGGAAAGGCAGCGGGAAAGGAGGGCACGGGTGCAGGCAGCTTCAGGGAGAAGTGGGTCTGGGGGCCCTCTTCTATAGTCCTACTTCCAGGCTCTCCATACACCCATTGGCTGGGGCTATTTGAGGGGCTCCGGGATACTGACTTGTCCCCTCACTCCAGGCATCTGGGGTGGGGATCCCAGCCCAACTGCCTGTGCAAAGGCCGCCTTGGTAGGGTTTGCTGATTTGTATCTGGAGGTGAGCTTCAAGACTCTCAGTCAGGTCTTGTGTTGCTGGGTGTGTTGATGCCCCTTTGACTGAGACCACCCTTGGCCTCAGCCAGAGGCCAGCCTGCCAAACAGAAATGCATTAGAGTCTTGACATGGCTCCCCTCCGTGGCTCTCTGTTTACTCCCCAAGTCCAGAGACCTCCTACCCTCCCTTCCCCTCAGATCAGGGGTCCCATCCTCACTCAGGGGTCTTCACGGAGTCTGAAGAGATAGAGGCTGATAAGATTTCAGGAGTCACTTGCCTCCCTCTCAATGGTCCTGAATAAAACCATCTCAGAGTCCTTGTCTCTATAACAGCAGGAGCCACACTGTCCATGCCCACTGTGGTCACAGCTGCTATTCTCTGCTCTGATGTCCCTCCCTGCCCATTTCTGCCCAATGTCAGGACGACAGTCAGAGAGGTCAGCAGTCAGGCACCATCATTTGAGAGCATGGGCGCTTTAGTCCTTCAATAGTGACTCAGAATGGCTCAGACTCCCACACGGGCTGTCAGGCCAAACTATGGACTCTCAGGGAGCAGGCCCAATGGGGAGTTCAGTTTGGGGTGGACTTGGTATGACAGGCCGGCGCTTCTGTTCCAGGTTTAGGCCACTACAAGTTACAGGACGCCAGTAGATGAGGGGAGGAGCCAGGTGCCTGCGTGCCTGGCGGGGCTGAATGTTGAATGTACTGAGTCATTCACTTTCACATCTCAACCCTCACAGAACACTGTTCTAGAAAAAAGTGGATAATGAAAATCTACCATGATAGGAATGATAGGAATTTCTAAGTCCTCAAATGCCACGGCTGAGAACAGAGTTCCGTGCTGATAGCCCCTTTGTGATTGCTTGACTGGATCTTGTCGTCATCCAGTTTGACCAGTATCTTCCTAATTTTTCCAATCAAGGTTGCAAAAGTGTGCCCTTGTGGCGATATTTCCCACTAACATGTTAGCATGCAAAGGACCTTGTTTCTCACCAGGGCTCCTTCAGGGGTTCAGGAAGTGATTTGCTTGAGTAAAAGGGCTTTAATTAATTTAATATTGGAATAGCTGTCAGACAAGATCCAGGAGTTGTGTGTTTTGGTTAACTTTTTTAGTATTTAAAGAACTGTGCTAATCAATATAACAGCTGAATTTATGCTGATAAATGTTGGTATCATTTTGGAAGCCACTTGAAATCTTGGGAGTGGGTAGAAGGACTCCAGATCCTCCTGGCCAGTGCTGACAGGTGGCTCTCGGCTGTGCTGGGGGCCACAGGGTGGGCCTGGCTGTCCCAGGCTTCTCTGTTAGGTGCCCGTGCTCATGTATCAGGTACCCTTCCACCCCCCAGGTTTTCGTTAGGATAACACATTCCAGAACAAATTCAGACCCAAACTGTCTGGTTTAGCTGACTGGTGATGCTCCTTAGAACTCCCTTTAAACGTTCTGTTCTTTTTTAGGGAGCGCACGAGTGGGGGATGGGCAGAGGGAAGGAGAGGGAGAGAGAGAATAAGCAGGCTTTATACTCATTGTGTTCTGTTCTAGTTAAGAATGATGGTTTATCCCCATTCCAAATATGTACCAGAAATCTAAGGCAAAGATAATATCTTGATGTTTGAAAGGAATTTATTCCATGATTGCGATTTTGAGGTTTTATTTGTAAGTGTTTGGTTTACCTTGCTGATACATGCACTTGAAGCAGAATGATCTTTGGGCTGAGTGCCCACAGGCCTAATAAGCTAGGAGTGAGCAGCAGCCCTTCCCCTCTGCAGTGTGGCTGGACCACTGGGGAGGTGGGGACTGGGGATGGTGGCATACCGCCATCTTCTGGTCATGGTGTGGAATTTTATCAGAAGCTGTTGATACTTCTGTGTCTGGAGCTCTAGTGCTGGGCTCAGCGGGTAACCTTGCCTTGTCTCTACTCTGACCTCTGGTTTAGATGTGAGATACAGCTAAGGAAATAGCTGGGGTCCTGTAACAATGAATGGACTAGTCCAGAAAACTGGCCACAGAGTGTTCCAAACAGAAGATTGATTACAGTAATGTTGGAAGGGCAAAGCAGAGAGTAAAGGTATGCAGGGATTAACGACCACTGAAGCCTCTCACCCCCAAACTGGTAGGGCACAGCCCTGAAACTGGCATCCATAGGCCATGCTGGGGCCATGTGCTCCCTGAGGTTCACTGATGGGTACCTGACTTCCCCGCCAAGTACTTACTGTACAAACTTCACATTCATCTCAGTGTGCGTGCACATGCACACATACACTCCTAGACGCATCTCTTCCCCCAAATTTCCAGGCAGGAAGGCAGGAGATCTGGATTCTAGCTTGAGTTTCTCCTCCCCTTGACTGGCTGGGCTCTGGGGAGAAGGGCAGAGTCATCCTGGTATGTGGCAGCGGCCACCCTGTGGCACAGGGTTGGACCCCAAGTTGGCATGTGGCAGGATTTAATGAGGAAATGTTTGTCAGGCACTGGATCCGTTCAGTTCCTGGTCGGAAACTGGTGGCACAAACCAGAAGAGAGGTAATGGAGGTGGATTTAGTGGCAGAACTAGTGACGGAGCTGTGGACCTCAGGGAAGCCAAGCAGGGTGGTGCCGCACAGACATCCCTGGCCCTGTCATGAGGGGGCAGGGACCAGCAGGTATCAGCACCAGTGGGAGCTGCCCCTCAGGAACTGAGGCCTTCAGAAGCGAAGGCAGCACCTGCCAGCCTGCCCCGCGGCAGGAAGGGCACTGGTGGAATAATTACCCTGGCCCTGCCCACCACCCTGTCTTGTTAGCTCTCCCTGTTGGCCAAACCACCTGGAAACCAGAGGGCAGAGGAGCCTGGCTGGCACAGATGTGGGGAGGTCAGCTTGGGAGTGCAGAGCAGGGTGAAAAATCAGGTAGGGCAGGCCTGGTGGGCAAACAGTGCATCCAGCACGAGCACCTATTTGCCCTGGGAGGCACATAGCCCGTGTAGTGTCATTCAAGGCCACAGGGTTAATGCCATAGCAGGACTTGGTTCCCAGCTCCCAGGGATTTTCCACCACACCCTGTGACCTGCTGCCCCTTGATTCCCAGGAAGCCCAGCCTAATGGAGGTGTCTTGTGCCCAGGTTCCTATCTGGGGTTTCCCTGGCTCAGAATGGGGGATTCAGGCTCCAGGCGATGCAGGAAGGTCTGCCTTTGCCCTCTGTCTTGCTGGCACCTCCACCTTTACCCCCACAAGAGAGAAGTGCTGCTCTGGCATTGTCTATCAGTTGGAGGACTAAGCTGGGGAAGGCACAGATGGTGTCTTTTCCCTGGAGGAGGTTGAGTCCATCCAGATGGAGTGACTTGCTCAAGATCACACGGCAAGGAGGACTGGAGCCAGCTTCTCTGGACTTGCAGGTGGAACCTTGGACTCTTACTGCTCCGTGCTGCCCAGGTCCAACCTCCTACCCTGCCCTGTCCCTATGGGGTGGGGACTCAGGCTCCCAGTGCCACCTCCTGCACCCCTGTGTCCTCGGCTCTTTTACTGAACCAGGCCCTTGGGTCTCTTGGGACACCTGCCAGGCCCAGTTCTTCTGTTTCTTGTACCTCATTCAGTCTTGGTTTCCCATCTGCTCCTCTTCTGTTGCCTTCAGTGGTTTTGTCCACTTCTTTTACCTCTACTTTTGGCTCCTATATTTGAAGGGAGTCATGTTTAGGATTTTAAGTCTTTGTGTTAACATTTTTAAAAATGTTTAAAGTGTAGCTGACATATAATATCAGTTTCAGGCATGCAACATAAAGATTCAACGATTCTACACATTTTGAAATGTTCACCACCAGGTAAGTGTATTACAGTATTGACTACTCCCTTTGCTATACTTTTCATCCCTGTGACTTATTTTATAACTGTAAGTTTGTACCTCTTAATTCCCTACACCTATTTTGCCCTTCCTCCCCGCCCCCTTCTCTCTAGGCAACCATCAGTTCTCTGAGTATTTCTCTCCTTTGTTTTTTGTTCATTATATTTTTTAGATTTTTTTTAAAGTTCATTTTTGGGAGAGAAAGAGAGAGAGAGGGAGTAGAGCAGGGGAGGGGCAGAGAGAGGGGGAGAGATAATCCAAAGCAGGAGCCTCACTGTCCACGCAGAGCCCAACACAGGGCTCGAACTCACAAACCCTGGGATCGTGACCTGAGCTGAGATCAAGAGTCTGACACTCAACTGACTGAGCCACCCAGGTGCCCCATATTATTTAGATTGTACATGTAAGTGGAATCATATGGTATTTGTCCTTATCTGACTTATTTCACTTTGCATGATACCCTCTAGGTTCATCCCCAGGTTGTTGCAAATGGCAAGATTTCATTCTTTTTTATGACTGAATAATAGTCCATCATGTACACACACACACACACATACACACACTTTATTCATCCATTGATGGATAGATGGCTTCCATGTCTTGGCCATTATAAAATACTGCAAAAAC